TTTTGTTAGTCTACTGACTACTGATAGCTGAATTTTTATTTGCAACCCTTTCCAACAGGTTAGCAAATAAAACAACACAGTCAAATTATTCTAAGAAGAGATCTGTAGAGTGGCTGGCATTTCTAAATCTTTATGTCCTGTACAATTGATATCTATTAGTAGCAGCAAACTGTGCAAAAGTGGGTATTCTTGATGCTATGGTGTAGGTATTTTTGTAATAGATAGAAGAAAGACACTATGAACATGCCATAGATATGAATAATTCTTTTCAATGGTTACTGGTTATTGTCTGAATTTCCGGCTTGGGGCTGTTCCCACCCTCCCACTTTGGACAGTACACTTCCCCGCACGTGGACCACAGAAAAAAGGGGCGCCAAAGATAAAAGCATCGCCATTTTTGTTACGATTTCAATAGCAGCAAAACGTTTCCTTTTCAAATTCAGTCAGGATGATAGATTTTACGGCTACATTGTCCCGCCGTCTTTCCCAAGCACTCCAGAATTCTCACATGTGCAGTTTGGGGAAGGTGTGAAAATTCTCATCTGCAGAGTTCATTATGGCCTGATGGGCTTCACACCTCCCCACATGGAAATGTTATTGTCTACCATTACAAACCACTTGACAAAACATTAACACGAGAGTGCCGTATTATTTCTGAATCTGTAATCTTTCCTGCCTTCCTTTTTTACAACTATATGGCAGAAAACGATGTCACAGGTTTCAATTGGAGGTCGCATATGGGTCACAGTGGGAGGAGTTCGGAAAATGGCCTATTGTTGGTTGAGGTTGCATGGTGGGAGGGGCTTCAGCCATGTTTATAAATGAGACAGTTGAGTGGACAAACAGTACTAGAATTAGGGTTGTGGTGGTCAAGCACGTACTCTTGCGGCTTGAGCTGCAGCAGAAAATGTGTGAGAGAACTAGTATAGGGTAAGAATTTTTTCTTTGTATTCACGGGTTACCGTAAACTGATTTCATCAACGTCTCATTTCAGTCTGGGTATTCTAAAACTGTCATTTAATCTTGACTCACCCAACATCATTACTGGGTGCATTTATTTTTCCTCGGCAAAGGAATGCTACTTCATCACGCAAATGGCCAAGCACATTCATTTTAGTCTTACCCTTTGACAGTCCTTGAAAAGTAGGCCATTTGCTTTCTGTAATTGCATTATATGGCATTTCTAAGGTTGTATCTGACTCAGTTACTTCAGGGTCACAGGTCACAGATGTGACTTTTCAAACCCAAACCTTATTATCCAAAGCCTGGTTGTCACAGCTGAGAAGTGGTCCGAACGAAGGGTAGGATTCGGATAGAGCCCATTTGTAAGGACTTTATTTGTATGAAACAGCTTAGATTATCTTGGAGTCTGTTGTGGAAAATTGCCTCTCTGCTGGCATTCCTAGTTAGTGGGGTTTTACGTGCAGACACAAGCAGTTAGCTTTGTAATGATAGGTCAGAGATCCCATAGGTGACGTTCTGAAGAATTCTGCTGGAGTCAGTTAAAGTTGTCAAGGAAACCATCAAAGTTTTATGTTTAGACTTTAATTTGGTCAAAGTATTGCTACGATTAGAAGTATTTATTTTGTAGTAAGAGGATATGTTTCTGTAAAGTCTAGTTGATCTTGAGTGTGCCGTGCAGGATTTTGCAACGGTTCCTCTGATCTATTCTTTCCATGTCATCATATATATTGTATTGATGTCAGGAAGCATGCTTGAAGGGTATGCAAGTGGACTCTTGTAGTTATAGAAATTCATTAGGCATTGAGGCTTTTCACGATCTTCACACATGAGTACCATCTCGTATAACCTGGGCGGACAATACATCGCTGAAAGGAAATATTGATCGATCCAGAGATTCGGACACTTCACACTGTTCCATCATTCTTATGGGCTTTTCCAGTGCATTTAGTTGTCCATGTGTGGTTGTGGAGTGCTTTTTGACTAGCATGAGCATATACATGTAGGTGTTGTAATTGTCTTCGTCAGAAAGACTATTAAATTGTTTTGCCGTATTGTGGGTGACTGCAGATTTAGCGGAATAACTCATGATTTGACGTCCATGATTTTTGGCAGGCAGATTACCGTTGTTGAGGCCAAAGTCAAGTGCAAGTTTGGGCTCCCTATGTCACTGCAGTGGACCTTTTGTGTTTGTTGCTTGTTAGCAAAATAACTCGAGTATATTTTTTTGTGCTGGAAATATACCAGTCTAGGTTTAGTTTCACAGTCACAGTTCAGTCTTGTACGCTTTATTTACAGACAGTGTTGGTGCATTCCTGTAGCTTTTATCTCAAGGACTTTGTAAAAGATTCCACTAGAAGGTGGTTTCCAAACTTAGCCCGGGGCGGCCGCAAGTGCGGCTCTTGAGTCTTGAGGTGAAATTGACCGTGTGACATGACCAATAGATGCCAGCCTATGGCTATGCACCATACAGGGTGGAGCAGGCAAGGACAGAAAAGATGAATTATGCTGCACTTGTGGGTTCACATACCATGCTGTCTACTGTCTGGCTTTCTCCTAATCAACCTTGCTGGGAAACACCCAACATTTATCAAAGAAACTAAAAATTCCTCATCAAGTTTTGATTTTGAACCATTGTGACATCAGTAGAATGCTGGTACTACACATAATTAGAAATGGCTGAGTCTTTCAATATTTCATGCATGCACTCCCACATTTTTCTTTATCAACTTCAAGTTAAATCACTTCAAGTGAATCCAGAGCTAGGTTGACCTTAAATAGAACTTGGCAGATATTGAAACATTGTCTGTGGGACAGATGGAACATTGTGTACAGTGGAAAGGCAAAATAAATTGCTCGAGTCACTGAATGTTCTCAAGTTGAAGTACTGTGGTTTTCCCTTTGATGAAAACTAGCAGGCGACATGGTCTTGTGCCTGAACTTGTGTGCTGGCAGTCCTTTGTCAAAACACTCACCACTTATGGTCTTAAATGGTTAGTATTCAAACACACATGTTCAACTGTATGTTCATTTTCAAATTCATTTGACATTAGCAACACTGCCTGGGTGAACTGTGCATTGCATGTAACAATTTCAATGATGAAGTAATAAAAATAGAAATGAAACGGTTATAAGTCTTGAGATTTTGTGGCCTCAAGTGCATCATATCATATGTATGCATCCTATCAGTGCAGTGACAGCATAGAGGTCCTCTTTCATGTTGGCTTGTTTGTAAAATTTACTAGTAAGGGAAACTCTGTCAGTGAAATGTCTGGCCCATAACTTAACTGTACTACAAACAAAGATGGTAGTACCAGACGCCTGTATTTATTTAAACATGCAAGTTCACCTTAATTGTTGCCCATAAATATTAAGTAGATATGCGATCATTGGGATGGTGAGAGGTTGGAAAATGTCTAGGGAAAACTTTGTGTCAAACTGGAAGCTTTAAATCAATGCTATTTGAAATGGCCTGGTTGCTATGCAGAGGAAACCATATATATATACACTTTCCAACAGTCTTACCAACAGTGTTGGAAAGTCTTAATAGTAGAGTCTTTTTCCTTTTCTGCTTTGCCTGCACAGTTATAAACCAACCTGTAATATTCTTTTTACAATCTGTGTTCAATCTCTCTGTTTTATCTGCATATAGAGATGCTATTTGAAATGCAATGGTTGCTAGGCAAAGTAAAACTATATATATACCCTTACCAACAGTCTTACTAACAGTGTTGCGGCAAGCCTTGACCTTTCGAGTCGGTTGCTTTATTTTGCCCAAAATAATGTGGCAATTAGTTCAACTCTTCAGTCAAAGCTTCAACAAGAACTTTGCAAGCACAGGTGTCAGGTTCCCACCCGTCAATGGAGAGTCAGTCCCCTCAGTCTGCTTGGTGATAACGTTGACAGTGATAAAGAATGTTGACTGCGGTTTTCTTTCCACATGTTTTATTTTAGTTCTCACAAAATTCCCCTTTGTACATTATTGTGGCATTGGCGATGGGATTTCTTGGAAGACCCTTTTCCGTCACTGGAGGTCTTCAGATAACTGTTTTGGGTGCATTCTCCTTGCGGATTAGACATGCACATGATGTGTACACAGTTCCAGCCAGGGGTGTTTAATAATGATTTCTGTCACCACTGCCAAGTTTCATATGTCTTGTGATAGGATTACTTACTGGTCTGAACAAAATGCTACATGCTCCAATGACCGATTTTACACGCAGGGCTTTTTGGCCCCCTTCTTTAGAGAGGTTGCAGTGAAAAAGGTTTCAAACGGCGCGGAAAGATCGTTATCGTTATTGTTGCCCGGCAGTCGGGAGGGTTCATTGGACAGTGCGGGAGGTGATTGTTTTTGCCTGGAAGGCTCGCAACTGCCGACACACTTCCCTACTTTAGTCCGCGTGTTTTTAACTAGACAACTTAAACAAGATTGGTGTACGTGCCGTGGTAAATGGGAAGGTGGCAGGGTATTTATGAACGCGTTTGTCCTTTACGTGGCTCATGTTTTCGTACGTGTAAAGTGATATCAAATAGACTGAGGGTAAATATGAGAGTACATGTTTTGCAGCTTGCGTGAGCATTGGTGAAGTGTGCATCTATGTCTAGAGTGGGCATCATTTTAGAGGTGCTGTCAATGTTCAAGTCAATTTTGATAGATGCTATAATAGTGTACATGGTTAACACAGTCTTCTCTTGTGTCCATTAAGGTACTGGTATGTTAAAATCTAAATGTCTTGCACTGTGGTAGGTAAAACCTAAAAGTTCTGTAGGTGTTTGAACTTTCCTTTATTTGTTTGGGATATGAAAAGCAAAAGAATATGGCAACAAGTGACATTGTTAGGTTGTGAATTATGGCATCAGATTGGAATGTTAAAAGTCTTGTTTGCCGAGGATTGTGCCCATTATTTGTTTTAGGTATGTCGGAGGTGTTATAAGTATATATGCGTGTGTCACCAAAATAGTTCGGGTAGAATTATGTAGGGTCAGTAGTGAAGAGACAGGTGTTTTAAAATGCTCCGTTTTCTCTTGCGTTTTTGCAGGAAAATCTGCCGGCACTGCAAGTGTTCCCAGGAAGACCACAACATGGCGTCCGGTACGGAGACGGAGCGCAACGTGAGTAAGATGGTCCAGGGTTTCCAGCGGAACTCCACGTCCGATGACGATTCCGGCTGCGCCCTGGAGGAGTACACCTGGGTGCCACCTGGGCTGAAACCAGAACAGGTGAGAATCCTTCATACTTGTATCATTACCCAGGGCTCCAAATACTGGGTTGTGCATCCAAAATTGAAGCTGTGCACCCAATTTTTTCTGTGGGTGCACCAATGCACCAATGCACCCAGATATTTTTATACGTTTATGTATGTAAAGATGTTAAATGTATAGTAGTATTCAGCATATTCTTAACATCCAAGTGTCAGAAAAATAAGAAAACCATTGTTTTTTTAGAAATGAAGCATAATTAGTTTTTGCTGACATTCTACTTATTTTATGTTGCGCACCCAAAAATTTTTTTTGCTCCCAATTCTTTATATTTGGTGCATCTATTCCCAAAAATGAATTTCAAGCCCTGTTACCCCTTCTGTTTCAAAATATGAACCATATGTTAAAGTGCTGAGTACAATTATGATGATACAATCAGTATCACTGAGTGTGTGTTTGTATCAGATTGGAATATGAAATAGTTTATGAATTTCATGTTAGATTATCATTTTAAACTTAGGCTTTTGATAGGGTTGCCCTTTTGTATTTGAACTATTTTCCAAGATAAACTTGAAACCCTTGACTTTTTGCTTTGCTCCGTTGGTGGTCGGTGATAAGGTATCAGCAAATAGAAGTTGTGCCAACATTGATAAAGAGTTTGCCACAAAGAGTTTTGAAGTTTAGGCAGTTTGAACCCCAAGGAGGTTAGGGCACTTGAATGCCTAGGTAACAAAGGACTGAAGGGTGTACACCTGAGTGGAGGGTTAGATTTTCAAGATAACCTTATACACATGTATCAGGATTTGATAAGAAATGTCACAAACAATGTCACAAAACTATGTCGGAGTACTCTGTAGTGTTCTAGATAGCGTCTGTCTTTCTGTTATCTGAAGGAATTTTGCCTCTCATGACAGACAAGAAGCGGATTCGGTGTGTAAAAATATGGAAAGAGATGAAGTTAGCTCAGTCTACCAGTGAAATTTCCCAATCAAAATGGAGAAATTGTTTCAGAGGGTCAAGATTTCAAAATTCCCCCAGGCTCCCCTAGAATTCTCTTACCTCTGGCACAACATCTTGTGCATTCGTCTGATATTGGCCTTATTTGATGTTATTGTTGTTAAAATTGCTTGATGCAGAAATATCAATACTCAAAAGAAGTGTTAGTGATCAAAAATAACTTGGCCACCCCTTGTAATGGTACGGTCCAGACTAGGGGGTGGGCTGTTGGAAAACTCCACCCACTGAAGCTCATGTAAATTAAGGGCCTGGAAGGCAAAAGTTCCTTGTGTCCAAAATAGGATGATGTGTACCACAAACAATAGGATAGGTTGAACTGGTTAGAAGTCCCCTCAGGCTTCATTATTTCTCCATTTAGACAGTAAGTTTCTCGTGTGCTGTGCCTCAGGTGGCTCGGAATATGCAAGATCACTTTGTGTAGTAGCGTTTTTTGTTGGATGCTTTGGTCAGCGTTGCATCAGAATTTTGCCTATTGCAGACGATACCTTTTCAGCGACACAACATTTGAAAACTACAGGCAGCTATGCCATCCTTAAGTATGTGAATATGAGAAGTTCTGCTGAAGTTCTATGCACAAAATATGATGGGTTTCCCTCACGCGCAGTACATTCTGCTGATGAGCTATCAAATGTGTCATTTATTGCTATCATGTTTTTCAATGGAGTTGGACTGAAGTTTTCCGCTTTAGTTGCACTTCCTGTCACTGAGAAAACAAACAAGCCAAACTTTGAGGCTTGCATATTTACATGGAAAACGGAAAACACCTAACACGGGTGTACAAAATGAAGTACAGTAGTATGAGTTAACTGATTTTTGAGGCTAAATATGGCAGTTTACTCAGTATGGATCGGACGTCTCAGTAAAAGATAGAAATGTGTTATCTAGCTAAAAGCCAATTGCTTGGACAGAAGCAATCCTTTAAAGTTTAACTCTACTAATTACAGAAGCCAAGAGCTACAGGTTTAATCTAGCTTACTGTCATCTTGGACAAATTTTACATACTCCCTTTGCCAAAAATTCTATCTTGGGGAAATGGTAAAAGCTGGATAAACCTGAAGTTGGTATTCTTGTGTCTTTAGACACTGTACCCTTTGTGTGTGCTGATCTGATAGAAATGTGAAAAATGTCTCTTGGTACACTAACTGTGCTTTGTATAGGATATCTCCTCTGATATCTGAGCTGTTTTTGATGTCTTCTTCTGGATCAGTCCTCTACTCTAATCCAATCCCTCTGGGATTTCCACCTGGCTTTAGAAAGAGAGGTTAATCCTTCTCGAAGGATCGTCAAGACAGGATAACGAGGCAGCTCTATTCTATGATATGTCTATAATGTTAGGTCTGAGGAAAGGCCAGTATTGCAGGTATGAACAGTTGTTGGGTGGTAGGAATGTCTACATGTCAGTGCCCCCCTCCCCCAGCTACTTAGCAGTACAGTTTGGTTTCCTGTCCATGTCATGTAGTGACCAGGAGTGTTGAAAGGCACGAGCCAGGCACTCATTACTACAGACAGTGGACAGTCAGGGTTTAATGAGGGGGTTGTGGGGAAGCTCAAGATAATAAAGAAGAAGTGACCTGCCCAATTACTAGAACATGGCCAGACACAAAAACACGGTCGGTATAACATCTCACAGGTGAACAGCCACACACCTGGGGTCACTACAGGCCATTTAGAACATCTGGATGACTATTCTAGCCAGCCTTTCTGTCGTTAAGTAGAATTTTGCTGCTCACTACAGAAAAAAATCTTGTCCAATGATCTGTATTTTGACTGGCCTGGGTGCCATTTGATTTGTAACGGCAACCCTGAAAAAAAATTTTCTGGGGTTACCATTACAAATCAGATGGTACCCAGGCTATAGTTTGATGAACAAAAAATTGGCTTGCAAGAATTCAATATGAACTTACTCTGCCAACAAAATTTGCCCATCGAAATGTAGGAAATAGCGTTTCATAGGGTCAAGATGTCAACATTTTTTTAGGGGGAACATTCACAGAGAATAACCTGACAATGATTAACGTTGAATTAAAGTGGTTAGCTACAATTAGGCCTCGTTCATGATTGAAATGTGTTCCGGTTTGGCCACGATCCGAATCGAAACGGAATATATTTTTGCGTCCGTGATTCAAAACTTGCACCCACACTGGAAACGGTTTCACACCTCGAATTGACTTGCATTTCATATGTATATCACAATTTCTTTGAATATTTCCTGGGAACCCGGCTCGCAAGGCGGAGAGTTTACGCCTGTCCGGGCGAGTGGTCGCTCGTTCCCGACTCATGTCCTCCCCATAGGCTGTGCCCCGGACGCATATGGCGCAAACCCCCATGGTCCGCCGCCCCAACGCCCCCGTTAGGCTACCACTCGCCCTCAGGCCCAGGGTAGGTTCTAGTACACACCATCCAGTTTCCTCTGGATCTCCTGATTTCCCCAAGTTAATATCGGAAGTCCCGTTTCCTCAGTCCAGTAATTAGAACTCGATGTCAAGATTGTACGATTCAAGTAGAATTTTCCGCAGTACAAGCCACTGCGCCGCAAACTATGGCCGACCGTGGCCCCCACGTACCCGAGAATACAGCGTCGAACCGGAACGATTCGCATCCGCGCGTTCATGATTACAATTCTACGAACGCGAATCGTTCTGTATCGTTTCAGACCACCTCGCGAGGTGGTTCAGAATAAATCGCAACAGAACCGGTTTGGAGCGTTCATGTTCCCAAATGAATCGATTTATTTTTTTAAATCGAATTGATTCGCAACAGATATCCAATCATGAACGGAGCCTTAACAGTGAAATAAAATGGTTCGCTATGCCTCACGGAAAAGGGCATGGAGACCCTCGTCTATTGTATAGTCCAGGACTTATCGGGACAATGTGTTCGCTGCCAAGATTCTGCCCTTGACAGGGGATTACCCAGTCAGTTCAGCGGCACATACCACTGTAAATGCGCTGCTTGTATTTCAAGCAGGTCTAAAACGCTTGTTGAAAGCTGTCTGGGGCTTCTCCACAGATTCAACAAAAGGGATTGAAGGATATTGTCTGTTTAAAGGAACCCAGAGCAATTTCAGAGAGAGTTAAACTGGATTTTCAAAGTGAAGTTTCTGGTCATTTTTTTAATGTAGTAAGTTAAATCGTCCCTATTCAATACCATACCGATGTCTTTGAGGCAAACATTCAATGCCTGTGATGAAAAACGGTTGCATGTTTCATATCGTCAGCTGATTTTTGCTATTAATTGGTGGTACCCAAAAATAAAGGAGCTTGTTTTGAGGCTTTTCAAATGTATCATCAAGTATAAAATGAAAAGGAAACTAGAATTCCGAGATCTCATACCTCCATGAAATATGATCTTGATATGTAAATGTAAATTTCTTCTTTAATTGTTCAAATGACCTCTGCATTAACATGATATATGCATCGTGATGTATGTTAACTTTTGATTAACTTACAGATGTCCCAAGTATGACATTCTCATCATTCACCATTACGAAATCATAGAATTTTCACATTAATTATGCAAATTAGGTCATCATTTGCATAATTAGTATCTGTTAAAGTTCCGCCTGCCCTAGGTTACATAGTATAATGTAAAACACTGTAATTATAGAATTTCCTCATTAATTATGCAAATAAAGTCCTCATTTGCATAATTTACATTTAATTATGTACATCTCTCTCTCAGCTACCTACACACCAAAAATAATGAAAATATGTTGTTCCTGTCAGGACTTATTGGCTTTTAAACATTTCGCCAGAAAGTGCCCTGCAGTTCCAGAACAAGCCGCTAGGGGGCCCAAACTCATATGACTTCTTCCTAAGCACGAGAGCTACCTTCCATCAAAATTTCATGACCCTAGCAAGTCCAGATCGCGAGATAATGTAAAACACTGTAATTATAGAATTTCCTCATTAATTATTCAAATAAAATCCTCATTTGCATAATTTGCATTTAATTATGTACATCTCTCTCTCAGCTACCTACACACCAAAAATAATGAAAATATGTTGTTCCTGCCTGGACTTATTGGCTTTTAAACATTTCGCCAGAAAGTGCCCTGCAGTTCCAGAACAAGCCGCTAGGGGGCCCAAACTCATATGACTTCTTCCCAAGCACGAGAGCTACCTTCCATCAAAATTTCATGACCCTAGCATGTCCAGATCGCGAGATATCAAAACCGGAAGTTGCGCTGCAGTACCAAGGGAAGCCACTAGGGGGACCAAAATCTCATCATTTCCAGTTTTCGTCACACCCTACCAACACATCAAGTATGAAACCAATCCATCCAGGCGTTCTTGAGTTATCTTGTTGACCAACAGACAGACAGAAGGAAGGACGGATAAACGCAACTGAAAATATAACCTCCATGACACATTTCATGGAGGTAATAATTAACCGTTTTTATCTTTAAAACTAGAATTCCGAGATCTCATACCTCCATGAAATATGATCTTGATATGTAAATGTAAATTTCTTCTTTAATTGTTCAAATGACCTCTGCATTAACATGATATATGCATCGTGATGTATGTTAACTTTTGATTAACTTACAGATGTCCCAAGTATGACATTCTCATCATTCACAATTACGAAATCATAGAACTTTCACATTAATTATGCAAATTAGGTCATCATTTGCATAATTAGTATCTGTTAAAGTTCCGCCTGCCCTAGGTTACATAGTATAATGTAAAACACTGTAATTATAGAATTTCCTCATTAATTATGCAAATAAAGTCCTCATTTGCATAATTTGCATTTAATTATGTACATCTCTCTCTCAGCTACCTACACACCAAAAATAATGAAAATATGTTGTTCCTGTCTGGACTTATTGGCTTTTAAACATTTCGCCAGAAAGTGCCCTGCAGTTCCAGAACAAGCCGCTAGGGGGCCCAAACTCATATGACTTCTTCCTAAGCACGAGAGCTACCTTCCATCAAAATTTCATGACCCTAGCAAGTCCAGATCGCGAGATAATGTAAAACACTGTAATTATAGAATTTCCTCATTAATTATTCAAATAAAATCCTCATTTGCATAATTTGCATTTAATTATGTACATCTCTCTCTCAGCTACCTACACACCAAAAATAATGAAAATATAGTTGTTCCTGTCAGGACTTATTGGCTTTTAAACATTTCGCCAGAAAGTGCCCTGCAGTTCCAGAACAAGCCGCTAGGGGGCCCAAACTCATATGACTTCTTCCCAAGCACGAGAGCTACCTTCCATCAAAATTTCATGACCCTAGCATGTCCAGATCGCGAGATATCAAAACCGGAAGTTGCGCTGCAGTACCAAGGGAAGCCACTAGGGGGACCAAAATCTCATCATTTCCAGTTTTCGTCACACCCTACCAACACACCAAGTATGAAACCAATCCATCCAGGCGTTCTTGAGTTATCTTGTTGACCAACAGACAGACAGAAGGAAGGACGGATAAACGCAACTGAAAATATAACCTCCATGACACATTTCATGGAGGTAAATATGCTAAAATTGGCAGTAAATGTCAATATCAGACAGAATATTTTTTGTGTTGCTGCCCTGAAATTGCATTGGATGCCTTTAAATCTTTCAGAAAGCTGTACCATAATAAGCAGATAGCACAAAATTTATTAAAAGACAATATTTTACATCAAATATATTTGTCATAATGCATATTTGCCTCTTGAATAGGAGAATCATTAAATGACTGAACAAAAGAAGTGTGCAACTCGGAATCATATGAATGGAACATAAACCAATTGCAAATTTGCTCCTAGGGTATGTTCTTTGCTTGTTTCAGAGGGTTAGGAGAGGCTACATGTAGTCATATACATCATGTACTGTGCCTTTTCCCCGTTTTGCAAACATCAGTCACTGGGAGCTGAAGCGCAACTAGGTTGAACCAAAAATTTATGATCCACTAGAGATGTATGCATCTCCACAGGGCATTGTCCAATGTTTGAAGAATGTGTTGTATATAGAATAGAGTTCCATACTAAGCTAACTTGTCACCAGCCAGTCATTTGCGCCCTTGAGATCCAATTGACCTTGGCACAGGCCGTGTTACAAAACAGTCTGGTTGCCATAGTAATGACTGGTTTTGACTGCCGCTCAAGCAAATTGTACTAATTGTAAGGTCGATATCATCAAATCCTATTGCAACCCACATTTCAAGCTGTCTATGCTGTAAAGGTTAAAAGAAGAAGTAATAGTTTGAGACAGTGCAAAATGAAAGAAAGCTATGCCACAAACATGCTTTGAAGTAAAGTGAAAAAAGGTTTTGGCCCTTTCTCTGCCAAGTTCCACTGGAGCTAATAAAATACATGCTTCGATTCCCTTAGGAGACAAAAGGTTAAAATGAGATGTGTGTGTGAAGATTGACTATGTTGTATGACATCATTTCTATTCAGGAACTGTTATGATAGATTGTTTGCAGATTTTTACATCAAATTGTGTATTGTGAAACAAATGTATTCACTTACTATTTATGGTCACCCATCCTGGTAGCCAAGGATTTGGCCTACATTATGTACAAAGTAAAACAAACTTAGCTTTGTGAAAACGGAGTTGCCTTTTTTGGCTCAGCCGACGTCACCAAAGCATTTTTCGCATGAGTTGATGTGTTTCAGACTTCCCAAGGTCAGATAGTCCATGTTTATATGATTTATGGTATCACCTCTGCATATGTAGTAGTCTGTGTATAGCAGCTGATTTAGACCCTACTTGCACAAGGGTGCTGGTAAAAACCTTAGTTACAGTACAAAAACTGTGTAAACATGTGAACATACGAAAACTGCGAACATTGAATTTTTCCTATGGGTAGATTGGCCTGATTTGACGTACATGAAAAATTATACGTTTAGATTTACTGTATGGTGTATGATCTAGTTTTCATTCCATCAGGTTTTTGCCTGCGTGTAACTTGTGTCCTACTCTCAAGTCGCCATGTCACAAACTTGAAACTAACACCAGTAACAGTAGATGATTTTTGGAGGGAAGGGGGGGAACCACAATGCTCTATCACATATTGAAATTTGTGATCTGGTTGTAAATACAGTCTGCTTTAAATCTGAAAGCCATGACCATCCCCCCACTCCCTGCCACAGTCGCCCCCATCAGCACTGAATGCCAGGCTCTGAATGGGGGGCTATGAATGTTTTGATTGGCTAAATGTGTCCTGGGAGGACCTAAAATTGGAAGTGAATTCCTTGGTGGTATTTTGTCTGGAGTTCTCATCATCCTCGCGCATTAACTGGTGATATAAATGAGAGGGAGGAGACTCAAAGCACGTTTAGATCCATATAAAGTACCCCGTAAAGACGTCCTGCTCGCTAATGACTGTAAACCTAACCCTTCTGAATATCATATGTTGTTTGGGTACTACAGATTTGATTATGTATTTGCATTTTTAGAGGTCTATCAAAATGTAAATTATAGCATTCTAGGGTGTGGTAGACTACCGATACATATAATTACGGCATTACCATGTTGCAGACAGGAACATACTTTTATTAATATCCTCACCAATTTTGTTTTGAATTTACTACCTGTATGTAACAAAAATAAATGAATTATACAACTGTCAAATGAAAAATTATATAAAATTTAGTACAGAGTACAAAATAACTAGACTACAAGAACATTTTCCTAAAGAATTTGTCCCACAATTTGTTGCTAGATTCTAGAGTAAACCATATGGCTTAGTTTTGGTATTCAGCAAGGCCGTTAATGTTTTTCATGACTATTCCTCTAACAACAATACAATAAGGTTGCATGACAAAACTCCAGCTCTAATCATTAATTGTACAAAGGAACAATGGCGTTTGAAAAGAAGTAATTCATCTTGTGTATGATATTTAATGGGCATTGCTGTGGAACAAAGCCCATTATAGTGAGATAAGCTATTCTTTCGTAGGTTTGTAGTTCTGTGTGTGTATCGATAGCTGCTACCGGTAGTATAAGCTGATTATGGAGGTTACTCTGTTGAAGCTTCTCGTGCCCTACTTGTATCAACCCAAGGTAAATTGTTGTACAATAAGAATAAGATATTGTCTAACCATTCTTTAAACTTGTTTGCAGAAATGGACAATTTTTACCACAACTAGTTCTGGATACGTGCAAAGACTGACTCGCCTTTGTTTAAATGATGGGAAAACACAACAGCATTTGTTGATGAAGTGATTTGAGAAAGTACATCTGATCTCAATTTTTGTTGCTGTATGTACTTCAGTTGACTGTAGAATTAGTCATTGATGTTTGTATGTTGTTATTTATCTGTTGTTTGTTTATCCCTGGCTCCAGGTTCACCTGTACTTCAACTGCCTGCCGGAAGACAAGATCCCGTACGTGAACAGCGTTGGTGAGAAGTACCGGATCAAGCAGCTCCTGCACCAGCTGCCGCCGCACGACACCGAGGCTCGCTACTGCAGCAACCTGAGCGAGGAGGAGAAACGGGAGCTGCGTACGTTCAGCTCGCAGCGGAAACGGGAGGCGCTGGGGCGTGGGCAGGTGAAGCAGCTGGCGGCCGACTCGGACGGGCTGATGTGCGAGGACTGCGGCGAGACGGTTCCCGGGGAGGAGACGGCGGTGTTCGCGTCGCGGGCGGGGCCGGGCGTGACGTGGCACCCGCAGTGCTTCGTGTGCTGCGTGTGTCGGGAACTGTTAGTGGATCTAATCTACTTCTACAAGGACGGGATGGTGTACTGTGGGCGACACCACGCAGAGACGCTCAAACCACGGTGTGGGGCGTGTGACGAGGTGCGTAGTCATTACATTTCTCTTCAAACTCAAAAAAATGATAGAGAGTAGCGTAATTAAATCGTCAGATTTATTCAGTACTGTAAATCACTTTATTATTATTGTTTATACTGGTATTCGTAGCAAAAGTTCGGAGTCTGAGAAAAATGGACATGATTGTGGAAGTGGAACTATATGCTCATGGTGGCAGCAGGTGCAGAAGAAAGAAAGTTGACAAATTATTTGTTCAAGGTTAAGATAAAAACACGGTACAGAAGTGACTGTGAAAACCGCAAATATAAAAGTACCACGAATATTAAGTGTTTTATAAAGTGATTACAGTACAGTTATTTTACTAGATCACCTAGTACTAGTTGTAGACAAGTTTGGGTGGGAGGTTTCAGAGAGCAACTGTAATGATAAGGTAGCATACCAACAAGGGATTTGTCTTGGATTACAAACTGTCCTAGCAGTCTATGACCCTTGCAGTTCCCTGACCCTTGTCATATCTCACTAGCCAATCAGAATGCAAGATTTTGGACTGTACCATTTGTCAGGTGTATAAAACTAGAAAGTGGTTCTGTTGTTGATTATACAGGTGATATCGGAGCACACCTGGTTTAATACTATGTGATTACGTTTACCAGTGACTGATCTCTGTTTTTGTCGGCTCCATCAGATCATCTTTGCGGATGAGTGTACGGAGGCGGAGGGGCGTTCCTGGCACATGAAACACTTCTGCTGTTTCGAGTGTGACCTGGTGTTGGGTGGACAGCGCTACATCATGAAGGAACAGCGGCCGTACTGCTGTCAGTGCTTCAACAGCATGTTCGCCGAGTACTGTGACTCGTGTGGAGAACCCATCGGTGAGTGAATGGCACTTGAGCCATAGATAAAATGGACTCTTCTTCACTCAGCTACTGCAAAGAATATGACCCTCTGAGCTACACTTACTTTGCAACTATGCCAGGTATATCCCAGGTATTTCGCTGAAGGTTAGACATCCAGGAGGGCCTGCATGGGGGGTGGTGATTACGAATTACGCAAAATATTTACCACCAATTACAAATTACGTTAAAGTCTCAGAGCTGATTGCGACTTTTTGCTTTGTGGCTAATGTACTATTACGAATTACGTTGATTTTTGGGGAGGCTGCCTATGGATTACAAAGACTAAAAGGCCTGATTACGCCTTACGAAAAAAAAGAATGCAGGCCCCCATCTAGGTAAAGAGATATACATGTACACCTCAAAAGTAACATTGAATATGATTGAAAGAAATTTGGAAGCATCTTGTGCCAGGAGCATAAACATTTCTAAGACAGTTTCTGTGTTTACTGAAGCAAGTAACGCAAAGGAATGCTTTTCTTGCATATTTCCAACTGCTCAATATATTTCTTTATATACAATTGCAACAAAAGACTTCCAATGATACATCACTTGATATCCCACCTTAGTAAGGACTAGATATCTACGGATGATAATATTTTGCTTTGCATCGTGTGAACCACCTAACAGGTGTCTTCCCTGAAGCTGGTTACTAGTATTACATGTAGTTCCTAAAGCCAGGCTGGCTTAACTCATAGGACACCTATCTGGTAAAACAAGTCCACCACAAAAGCAGTGTGATCCCATAGATAGACGGCTGTCAATCTGATTTGTCACCCAAGTGGAATGACATGTCATTAGGATCTCTTGTCACTGGGGGAAACATTCATTTTCTGTGCAGAAATGTTCTGAAGGCTACAGTATAAGAAATCTTGGAAATATGCTGTTTGTGTTAAATATTGTAGGGACTATTTCTTGGGTTTTTCTTGACAACTTGAAATTTTGCTCACAACTGAACTCAAAGTGTACTCAAGAGATTTTTCAGTGCTCACCTTACTGCTTGCTTGCACATACTGTACAGATAATATATCTGCCTGGCTTTATTGAAAAGATAATGTGTAACACACACCACCGCTAAATGCTATCTTTACACTTTGTCCCCTCCAGGCATCGACGAGGGCCAGATGACCCATGACGGGCAGCACTGGCACGCCACCGAGAAGTGTTTCTGCTGTGCAGCCTGCAACTTGTCACTGCTCGGTCGACCGTTCCTCCCCAAACAGGGCGAGATATATTGTTCGAAATCCTGCGCCCTGGGAGAGAACCAGGAGTCCAAGCAGTCGCCGCCCGCGCAGAGCTCCAGTAGTCCGTACGACACCGGGTTCGACACCCTGACGAAAGGAGATGGCTCGCAGGAGTCGGATACTAACTCCACCAGGAGCCGGAAGCGCGACCGCAGATCGCGGTCCATGGAAAACCTGAAGCGCGAGTTCTACGCCAGGAAGCCTGGCTGGGGCCAGAGCAAGCTAAGGATGGAGTCGGCGCGAAATCTACAGCAGTACGACCTGAGCTCGGACGGAAGTCCGGACGTGAATCATCACCCCAGGCGCGTGAAGCACAGAAGCAGGTCGATGACGAGAATGAGCAGCGAGGCAAGAAGAGCGACGGATTACTCGGATCCCCGCAGCGACACCGAGAACCAATCGGTGGCGAGCGGCACGAGCGGGAAGCAGTCCCCGTGGGTGCCCCGGGAAGGCTTCACCAAGGGAAGCCTGGAGAGAATATCACCTCCAAACGGCTTTGAGGGAGCTCCACACAACATGTTGCCTCAGTGGCAAAGTACCCCCCAGGAAGCAAGATACTGGAACATTCAGGGGGGTGTCGGCACCCAGGGGGGGTTCCCGTCAGCCGTACAAGCTGACGTTAAGGACCCTGACGCACAGTATGATACCTCGCAGGGATACGACAGCGGCGGCCACGAGTGTGAGAGTGACAGGCAGTCCCAGGCCAGTGGTTGGACTGCCCCGCAGGACGTACCGCTGACCGTACCGGAAAACGGTCCCCGGTACGAGGAGAGAACTGTCCAGTATAACACACAGGAGTACCTTCCCCACGACAGAAGAAACGTCTACATCCCACAGGAGCCCGAAATTGAGTATTCCAGCACGAGCGAGCTTCCCCCGCCGAGAGGCATCCTGAGAAACGCCTCAGACACCCAGCTCGCTGAAAAGTTCCGCAAGATGAAGCTGCGCGATGACTATTACACCTCCTCCTCTTCATCCGACAGCGAGGATGATGATTGGCTGATTCCTCAGAGGAGAGTTCGCGTTCGATATGTGGACACTGACTTCACGGGAGGCGGCAGACACGGCTCTATGCCACCTGGGGCAGACAGACCGAGGGGAAAGAAAAGCAAGCATTGCACCATATCCTAAAAAACTGTGTTAGTGAGAAAGATAGAAGAGAAAGGATATAGAAAGTGCTTTGTACTAAGATACAAGTTGTAATGTTAAAGTTGTTCATATCTGAAACCTCACATCCCTGTGAAAAAGTGCCTCTTCATACTAAGTAACAAGAATGAAGACACAGATTACTGATTGAAGAGCCACCACTTGGAAGCTCTTCAACATCTTTGGTCTTTTAAAGATAGGAAATTGTCTTTAGCTCACCAACCCAGATATGTACTGGTTCCATAGTGTCTGCTTTAGTCATTTACAAGAGGCATGTACTTAAAGGTGCTCGTAGTTATGTTTTGTTGTCTTTTTTTTAATTTGGTTGGTTTAACTTGGTTATGTTCGCTGTTAACATGTTAGACTACCCCCAGTGTAGAACTTCAGGTACAGAGTTGTATGATTTTATTTTATCGACATGGTATAGTTTTAGCTGATCATATAGCATTTGTATGTTTGCAGGTGAATTAGCACATACTTGTCAGATTAATAAAACACACAAACTTTTAAAAACATTTTGATAATTTATTACAAATTTTCTTTGTGACTCGGCAATCCCACCAAATTGTTGTATTCATAATGTATGATGAAGGGCTTTGTAAATATTAGTCCAAATTTTACTGTATTTTTATAAATTTATTGTGAATTGTACATAGTGTGTTTGCTGATGCACCAGTTCACTATAGGCAATGGGACTTAATATACAGTATGGCCCAGTTTTTAACTGTAGATTCCAACCTGCGGGCTGCAATTTACTCATTTCTGAACTGTAGTGCACAGCTGTATGCCAGTCTTGCAAAAGTGACACCTACCATAGTTGAGTGGAACTGCAGCCACAAGAAGGGAACTCCAATAAGGAAACTTTGGTCAAAATTCTCCATCTTTTTTTTCCACAGTGGAATTACAGTTGTCACTCTTGTACTTAATATGTTTGATGTAAGCTCAACAGATCTTAGTGCCAATCACGTTTCTGGGTCCAGATAGGATATTATGTAAATTATTGTACATACCAGGCTTTTTTCATTCAATGGTGAATTTTCTTTGGAATAAATTAGTAAATTGTTTTTTCTTGTTTACAGTCTTCCCAAAACACATCTAACACATGCACAAAAAGGAGATTTGGATGACTTTTATGTTTACAGATTGAGAATAAAACTACTTGTACCGTGTAGTACGATTTGGTCATGTACAATTTTCCTGGGAACTACCTCAGAAGTGATAGACTTACAGCTTTTGTACCACATCTGCACCATCATTACAGACTGTGATTTACCTGGTAATCTGGTGTCTTGTCTTCTTTTGTCTGTGCAAGGACATTATACACCTTGGTCTGTGGCTTCTCAGACACTACTGGTCTTCATATCTACATGTCTTACTGGGTGGCTATGTCATCACACATTCAGAACCTTCCCCCTACCACCAACCAACCAAGTTTGGCTGAAGTTTGGGAGCAGTCTGATCAGATTCAGGCCATGCTTACCTTTCTATACAAATCAAATGAAAATCAGTTAAATTTTAGTCAAATTTGGCCTGCGAACAGTGTCAACATACTCCCGAACACCAGCCAACCATGGCCAAACATGTCCACATCATCATCAGTCGGCTGCAGGCCACACTTAAATGTTTTAAATCATTTGAAACATTCAGCTGGCACAGCCGAACAGTAGCCGACCTCACCTAACACAGCCGACCCTGCTCCCCTACTCCTAACCATGGTTGGGGGAGTTCTGCAGTGTTTGGGAGGCCATATTTTGCTATGTGTGACGGGCTTAAGATTTTAGCATGTGAAGACAGGGTTATGCTTATTCTGCATAAGGCTACAGCAAGTAAATTTTATGGATGACATTCTCCGCAGATTCCAAATCTAATGCGAGCGGGCCAAAAAAAACAAGGCGGGCCGAAAAAAACATGGTTCCTACAAATTTTGACTCAATCATTGTACAAATGGTTTTGATTCAGTAGGAACATCACATATACACAGCCAGCATCACATATCACTGTATCAAAGTAAAAAAAACAAGACATTAAATCAGAGCCTTTTCTTGTCTCATCTCTTCATAGTTATCTGCCATCCACCTTCCGGCATGGCAACAGACATCTTTGCCCATTTTTGGCATGTTGACCACTGTCAGAAGGCAACAAAATCTCTTCTTTTTTTTTCAAAAATCAGGTGAAAATTAATGCGTGCGCTGTTGTCATCCATTAAAATTTACTTGCTGTGGCCTAACTGCATAATAGAAGTTGTTCACATTGTAGAATCTATAACTAAACACTGCCTGCTGGGGGCTTTGATACCTCAGTCAGTGGTCAGTACAATACAGTACAATCAGTGGTCCTTTAAAACAGCTATTATATTCCAGCAATGGTATGTCAAATGAAGACAATTCCACAAGATCTTCACATTTCCATACAGGATATATTTCTACTTTTCAACACCATACCCTACTGAACACTTTTTATGAGAAACATAAAAGCTCCAAGTCAATTACAAAAGACTACAAATCATACACTGCAAATAGAAATATACCTATACATCTTTTTCAGTCTTTAGCAGCATACTAGAACTTTGTTCTCAAACTGGCAATGCAGTAACCATTATTTACTTCCATTTACAAAAATACATCAGTAGTGAACAGCACGTGTCTGCATAGCCTGGTGTCCAGCCTTGTTAGCTTTGGTCCGCTCCCCAAGATGGACACCAGGCTAGTGTCTGCATGCTACAAACAACTATTTCAATTCAAAACAGCAACACCCGTACGTAGTCAAAAAGACCGGTTCACACTTCTATAAAACGATACACCGCTTTGGTACACTGAAGCAGCAATGTGTATAAAATAGTTGCGATGACATTACTGTATCTTACACAATGTGCATGGCTCTTTACATAACAGCATTAGTTACGAAATACTGCAGATTTTCTGTTGTTCGATGACTTCACCTTCCCTGCTCCCCTTTACCCCAGAACTGGTCGCGCCGTTTCTGGGCTCGTTCCAGAACAGAGGAGGCGAGAGACAGGCTTGAAGCTGACCGTTCAGAGATGAGTGACATTCGATCGTCATCTGAAACAGAAGATTGCATGAGATGAAATTCTATATTGGCCTAGATTTGATCTCATCGTGGATGGCATGTTGAGTTTGAGGTTCAGCAATGAGTGAAATTTTAAGTTGATTGATCATCTCCACATTTTTATTAAGTGAAAAACTAGAAAGGTACATATTTGCAATGCATGTTTACCTTCATATAGTCTTGCCTAACAAACAATGGTACTGTTTATTCTTGCTCAAATACATTTACATAATCATGGTAACAAGCTCCAACTCTACCCTGCCACTTGCTACATAATGTAATCCAACACCATTAAGTGTCTGCTTCAGCACCAGTTACTGATTCAAGTCTGTAATTGCCATTGTTTGGAAGGGAAGAAGAAACAGAAGAAAACCAGTATGCTTTGGATGAAAGATGGAAAACCTAAAACTCACCAAGATGTGGCGGTGTCATGGGGCGGCCATTTTGTCCGGATGCTGAGACGGGCTGTGTCCTGATGCGGGGTGGATAACGCTGCTCCATGGGCGACCCCGGGGAGTACCCATCCTCGCGCAGGGGGTAGGGGTCAGGGGTGGGCCGCCCCGCCGTGGGGGACGGGCTGCGGTAGAAGTCTGCCACGTGGTACGTCTTCCCAGCAGGCCGAGAGGGCTGTGGTGCAGGGGCTGTCTCTGTTTTGGTAAAAATACACTGTGCATCAAACATGAACTGGCAATGTTCCAACATGGACCACTCACATTTAAAGGTTTATCAGTTGAACTTAAGGTTGGCCTGCACTGCCCTGCAGTCAGAATAACATCCTGGCAGAAAACTACAGGTAACTACATTTGACTACTAGTATTAAACTGATAGCCGGCATTTCATTATGCTGCATTTTAGAGCACATTTATTGTTTCATTGTGATTTCTGTAATGTTTTATGTCTGGGTCTCAACACCAGCAATAGCTGCATATGTTGAACTGTCAAAATCCCAGTAAATCATTCAAATGAAATGAAATCAAGAAATTCCATGTGAAGTACATGTAGAGCCATACACAAGAAACATTCATGACCAATTTTTTTTTGTATTGAGAAGAAGGTCCTTACTTGGCCTGTGAGCTGGCTGTGTCTTGGCAGGACTGGTGTGTTTCCTGGCAGGTGGAGGAGACTTCACCAGCAGTGCACCTCCTGGGGAATACAGGTAATGTTACAGACATGTTTTCACAAAATACATTTAACACAAACTGCCTGAAGCACTAACTGCAAATTCTTAAAAAAACTGGCTAAAAGTACTATACACTGATGCCAACAAACTAACCTAGTTTGCACAGGTGAATTTGCTGTAGGGAAGCATATTTTACAGAGGTGTGGTGGTAAGGTTTTACTGTGATTGTTGACACAGAAACTGCAAGTTCTGGGTTTGAATCCCTGACAGGCCCCCGTGTTGTGCCCTTGACAAAGGCACTTAACACCTATTGAGAGTACATGTACCTACATTGTAGCTTTGGTTAGTGTCGTAAAGCCAGAGGTTGCACATTTGAGGACAGCCATACCTCAAGCACTAATCGAAAAGAGTAGTAAGGGTCCCTCCAAGTTGTAGTGGTTCAAACTTTACAGTCTGGTATTACACAGCTTGTACTTACTGTACAAAACTGGTGTGATACGCCTGAAGGCAGTTTACTGGTAATGCAAAATAACTATCTACTGTTCTTTACTGACCCAAAGCAGGTGTGGTTCTGTCGTAGTGATGTCTCCTGACTGGGGCTGTGACTTTCTTCAGTTCCGGGGTGGCCACTCTGCCGTCATCATCCACGTCTTCCGTCAGCGTGGCTGAGGAGGTGTAAGACGCAGACGCATGGCTGCCACGCCCTTGACTGGGGATACTGCCAATACTGAGGAACCCAGATATAGGCAGAGTGAGTGTCTGTTGTTTCCTAGTTCTAAACTTTCAATATTCCATTACAATATGTTTCAGAGAACATCTCATATGGACACTACTATGTCTGAGCGTCAGCCTGGCTCCCCATGATTTGGCCGGTAGTGGATCATGGGGAGCAGACGAAAGCTAAAAAGGCTGACACTCAAGCTAACTTGACTATCACTTATCTAATATTAATTTATTTCATCAAAAGATGGCTGAGTTGCCTCTTCTGCTTATAAAAGCTGATTTTTGAGGGAATGCAGCATATGCCTGACAAAACATGTTACATTCAGTCAGGAGACAAAAGTGGACAACATTCAGTAAAAACAAAAAAAAATCTGATATGTCAAAACAAAATCATTGTCCATAACTCAAATGCATTACAAGGTCAAACTCAGTAGAGATCAAAAATTGAAGTGGGGGTTAGAGGTCAAGAAGTTACATGTACATGAGGCATGCATTTCTAAGACTCAAGGCTGCTTGCTTATCACCTAGTTGAGAGGAGACACAAGCAACATAACAAAACATTTACAGAAAAAACTATACCTTGTGACAGATTCGCTGCCCGGTTCACTATCACTGTGTACATCCTCCACCACCCGTACCCTTCTCCTGCCATCTACATCCCTTCTATCCCTGTTCCATGTGCAAATGAGATGTATGTGCAAAGATATAGGGAAGAAGCAGTTAGTGGTGTTAAAGTCATTAAAAGAAAGCCTGTCGTGATAGCATACAGTAATCACGCATGAATTCCTTTTTTTTTTCTCATGGTGTATGTATATCCCTCCCTAATGGTCTCAGATTTTGATGGCCTGTTTGCTACATGTACTACCACCAAAAAAAGGAGAGTAAAACTTCTACCTTATGGTAGACTCACTGCTAGTGCTAGATTCACTGTCACTGTCTGTATCCTCTATCTCCCACACCCTTCTTCTGCCCCTGGTATCCCTTCTATGTCTGTTCCTTATGCGACAGACATGTGTATAACAAGGACAGAATGACAAATGCCAGTTAGTAGTTTTAGTAGCATAAGCTTAAAACACAGCATCCATATTCACTTTATATCCTCTCTCTGTTTCTGTCAGTAGGTTGGCAAAACGTACTGCACCTGTGCGAAACCTCTTATGTATTATGCATAGCATTTCCGCAGAACATCTTGTTTAAGGTGAAACATGTATTTGCATATCTAAGGATAACATTCCACCTATAGGAATGTTGTGTCAGAAAAAATATTGTCTGTAACAGGCAACATTTTTATGCAAAGTTGACCAAACATCCGCTGAAAACATGATAAATCCGGGTTTTCGCAAAGTTGTAGTAAACTATGCCAACGTGCTGTTCTTGTCTATTGCTGTCCGTGTTTCTCACCTGCTGTCCCCTCCACCTCGCTCGTCCCACGCCAGTTTCCGCTGAACCGGCCGCTTCTCTTCCTCGGGCGAGGAGGACGCTGACCTGTGACCTGGGCGTGGCTTCTCGGTGGGAGGGGCGGAGCGTTTGGGCGGGTCTGACGTTTGCCGACGTCTTCTGTAAAAATGGAATGTATAAGTTACTACTTTGTACTGTAACATTTATGGGTGAATATGTAGTCCCACACAAATACATGCAATACATTTTAGAGGCAAAGGAAAACTCTTGCACTCACTCACAATCTAGCCAGACATATAGGTCCATTTCTGAAAGTGTTTATGTTTGGTTACAGAAGTTAACAGGGTTAACAGATGATTAAAAAAACAGTACATTTCGATCACTAATATTTCATGAAGATTTCATGGTGTGCAAAACTCTGGGACTGATAACTTTGAGTTTGACTTAATTTACACACACCGGCAAAAAGCTGGGTACAAAAACTTTGCATGCGTGGGAGCGTTCCAAAACTGAGTAGTTGAGTGCATTGAATTTTTCCTGCATGTAATTCGGCCTGCTTTGACATAAGTCAAGAAGGTATGCCAGCCCTCGAGGTAACATACGATCTAAATGTACAGGCCAATTTAGATGCAGGAAAAATTTTAAACACACGGTTTTTGTACGCCTGCATGCGTATGCAGTTTTTGTTCTGTCAGGCTTTTGCCCACGTTAAAATCCGGTCCTAGTTAGTAACACAGTGGAGACTGGACGCACCTGGCATGTCCTTTATCTACCGGATCTGAGGCCAGCGACAGGGCGGACACGGTGCTCTCGCTCTCTGACTGGTCCCACATGTCGTTCTGACGCGCCATCAGCTGCAGGAGGTGGTCGCGGGAGAAGTGCGTCCCGTGGGAACGTCGTCGGTAGTCGTCTGCCTTCTTACGCAGCTCCATGACCTGTGCGGGGGGTGGGGGGCAGGGAGACAGTGTGTGATTCTGTGTAGGGGATCCTTGGCCAGTTACGTTGAGCAAAGATTTGCAAAAAGGTTGCATTGTAGACCTTTTATGCAGCTATTTGGGAAACTTTTAGGTCAATGCTTAAAATGTATGAAATGTCTTATATTTGCTGATTTTTGTCTGAATTATACCATTGGTTCTCTTCCATCATGTATACAACAGAGCCAAATATATTGCTGATTTTCTTAACTAAATGTTACACTAGAAAGCTTTTATGCTGGAAAGATTATAGATTGATTAGTAGCTTACTACTACATTTCTTATACATCTAAGTTTTTAAATGATTGTGCAGAAATTTTGAAAAGCCAGCCTTTATTATAATTTTATTGTTATGAAATCTCCTAATATTTGATGAGATTTAAATGCAGAAACTGAAAGGAGGAGATTGGAGGTGCAGTTATAGATTTCATGCAGTGAAAAGACAGGAGGGCTTTTCTACAAACCTCACTGTACCATTCCTTTTTATCATTTTGTGCAGGTATGTCCGAGACAGGCTCCTGCAGCACACACAGGGGCAGTGTGGGGAGGGGGAGAGAAGAACCAAAAATGTTGCTGTGAGCCAAAAATGATTGTGTGGAGAAGATAATACACCAAGGCTTTGTGAGTGTTAAACACCATACATGAATAAGGAATATTCCTGAGGACACAGCAAAGTGCTGAAAAAAATCTTACACAATTTTGCACAACAGGGCATTTATCTTTATACACCATGTCTTGTTTCTTACGTTTTGGAAAGTCAAATTGTAATACCCAGATATTGTGAAAGAGGCCCAGGCAGTGTGAGCAGTGCAAAAAGAAAATTATGTTCTGCTACTTTAACCAGTAGAGAGCTAAAACTTTCATGTCATCATACTTGACATACGCTACCTACAGTATCGAAGGCTTTTCTTCCAGCCAGCATCTGTACATACATACAGTCTTTCTGGAATTTTGCTGCTCATGACAACAAATTTGCCCAATCCGTCATCTTTGAAGATATGGAAAGAGGTTTCATTAAATTAAGCTTAGTCTACCAGCAAAATTTTCCCCTCAAAATGCAGGGAAATAGTGTTTGAGAGGGTCAAGATTCCAAAATTTTCCTGAGAGGAGCTTGCTACCAGATCCTCTAGGTGCAGCACTTGACAAAATTTAGATTCAAGTTACTTGAAACAAAATTGAGATGACAGAAAAAAATCCAGGCTGGCTAAAAAACTGATCAAAGGCATTACATTCTTCTGTGCAAACCTTTCTGGGCTGTAGATGTGGTGGGTCAGCACCTCTCCATGTCCCTCCTCTGTACTCAAAACTGGTCGGGGACTTGTAGTTGGAGTTGTACTCTGATCTCCAGTTCCTGTTAGAACATGCACAACATTGCACGTCTTTACCAAGCACAACTCCATATATTACTGGAACAGCAGCAAAACAAATTTGACTCAAAAGCCCTTTCAAATTGCCCGTAATCTATTAATGAGGGCCTGCATGCCCTTTTTTGTGTAATCAGGCTTTTTTAGTCTTCGTAATCCGCAGGCAGCCGCCCAAAATCATTGTAACTCATAATAAGTACATTAGCCGTAACATGTAATTGGAATCAGCTCTGAGACTTATTCGTAATCGGTGGCAAAAATTTTGTATACCGTAATTCGTAATCACTACCCTCCCATGCAGGCCCTCATTAACTGTTTCCCTAAATTCTATCAGACCATCACTGTAAAATATGTGTAGATCTTCCCATATGAACAGCACACCACCCTGGATATGACTACTACTTTGCGTACCCAAACCCAGAGTGTGGAAAAAACGGTTGTTGTGGATTTTGTAGGGACGATCTCAGCAGTCGCGGGTCATCGTCAAACGTAACGGGAGGGCTGCCAGCGGGGTGTAACCTCTCCGGAGACATCGCTGAAGAAAACCAGAAAATCGTAAACAAAGACTCTGAGGTATTTTCAAAACGCGACCTACCAGTTCTTGGGGTGAGGGTTATCTAGCTTGTGGGGCGACTTTTTCAGGTGGCCAAAGTTTTTGATTGGTCGAGGGTCGTTCCAGACTACAGGCATGAACTCGGTGGGTTTGCCGGCCGGAGGGAGCCGCTCCGGGGAGAGGGCTGAAACACAGCGGGGCAAGGTCAGGAGGGCGGAAGGGAAGAAGCTTCTACAAGGCATCTGTCAGGACTTTGCTTTTACTACATGGCTAGACATAATGTCTACTACAGTACTGTGATCATGTAGTAACAAAAAGCAAGCGCCATTTCCTTGTAATTGTTTTTTACCATAGCTTTAGCATACAGTGTAGTTCATACTAAAAACTGTTCAGAAACCATGTGCCATTACATTGAATTTCTTTTATACGTCCTGGTCTAGGTAGTAACAGTCAATGCTGTGAATGAAAACCCTCATACAGTACTAGTATACGTAAAATTGAACATAGGAGCGTTGCCATTTTACAATCGTCGATACAGAAACAAATCAAATCTGCAAAAGGGTAGAAATCACTACTCACATCTAGCTCTCCTCTCCTTCTTGGTAGACTGAAAGAAAGAAAGAAGAAAAACATCAAGCATAAGTCATTGTTGACCATTTGAGTGTCTTCAATGCATCGATCAAGCCCACAAGTGCCATCAAAAGTAAATTGTAAAGATTACAATGTTGAGAACATCTTTTAAGGGTGAAGCAAGTTTAGACTGTATTTTCCAACACAAGAAATTGGACTTACCCAAATTTTTGTCAAGGTATGAGCAATTCAGCACTTCCGTAGCAATGTGTTATACAGATGACAAAGACTTGACAAAGACTGGAGTTGTACAGTTGAAAATTTGGTCCAATATCTTGTGTTACAAATTACAGTTCAAACTTGATTCATCATAATGTCTTTACCAACACAGAAGAACTTTCAAGATGACAATTTTTCCTCCCTTACTTTAGACTTCTTCCTTCTGTCCCTGCTCCTGTCGCTGGACACGCTCTCTGCCACGGCCACACGTTTGGGCACCTTGAACTGTCTGTTGTACTCCGTGGCGCGGGGGATGAGATCGGAACGGTACGGAGCCAGCGCCGGGTTGGAGTTGTACACCATCTGGTAAAAGGTTGGAGAGAGGACGTTATCATTGTTACCAAAGTTCTTCACTTCTGAATAAGTATACCGGTAAGTCTAACAATCCTAGTATGAACTGAACTCTTGAAAACCACCCCACCTAGCCACTCATTCTCATATGTACTGAACCTCTGGTGAGATTCAGGGCTCAAAATACATTGTATGTGTATCTGCACCACTTAGAATTCATGAGGTATCACAGTATGGGAGTATGGATAGCACTAAAAGCTGTTCAGAAGCCATTGCCATTATTTCTTCATCATAGCTGGTGAGTCAATGGAGCAAATAAAAATCTTTATACACCAACATGCATAAAACCAGTACATAGACAGGTACAGGTAGACATCAGAAATACCCGCACATCTCCAATTTTACTTGCCTGCACATGCAGGTGGTACTTCCAGCCCAACAATTCTAGAAATCAAAACATTCAATCGATTGTTGTTGCTGCATCAGTCGTACCTGGTCTGCTGCCATGACAGGCGACTGGTCCTTCAGCTTCTGCTGTTCATAGAACTGTCGCTGGTACTCGGACAGCATCGTGGGGAACTTCCTGCGCTCGCCCTTCAGACCGGCCTTTATCTCGAGCGGACGGTGGTGCTGCACGACACGGGGCAAAGGTCAAAGGTAAACAGGCTGCAGAAAAGCACAGTAGGTCACCAGACTGCTAGTCTTCAGAAACACCCGGAAAGAGTAGAAATTGGCCAAATGGCAGACCAACTCCCCTGGCATGTTATCAGTCTATATGGCCAATTTCTGCTCTTTCCATCCACTTCTGAAGCCTAAATCTAAAACCACAGATCATCTAACGTCATATTGAAAAGGACCATATTTTTGTATTTCAGGTTTCTGCAGTTCTCAAATGAAAAGCCTTTTTTTTTCGAAGAAGCAAACAGTATTGAAATATTAGGTATTGGAAAACAGTTTGAAGAGGCAAAGGAAAAATCCTGTTGCTTAAAAATGCTGTCTGCCTTGATTACTTGTATCATAAACTTGTACATGCACTTTAAAAATAGGGCAATGTGGAGATTGTACAGAGGAGTAAACCACACAGCCTATAGTCTGACACACAGTAGGAAGGAAACACAGCACACGGGTCAGATGTGCCCTTCAGAAAAAGGGCAAGGTCACGCCAAGCTATTTCCCATGCTGCTTTGCAACCAGGAAACAACAGACCTTCTCCTTCTTCTCCTCCTTTCCTTCATCTTTTTTTCCACCACCTTTCTCCTCCTTTTTATCCCCTGGTTTCTGTCTTGCCTTGTCGCCTTGTCCTCTCTCTTTAATAGCGGGTTTCCTCTCCGGGGCTCGCTCTTCTCGCGGTCTCTCCCGCGGCCTCTCACGTGACTTGTCCGGTCGCGGAGCTGGTGGAGTCGGTGGGTCGTACTTCTCCTCTAACCTTCTCTTCTCCTCCCTCCTTCTCTTTTCCTTCTCCCTTAGCTTCTTTTCCAACTAAAAAAAAGATAGTAGGACAGTCATTTAGAAAGATAAGCATACATTCTACTTATGTAGAACCAAGCTTCATTATTTGGTCCCATCTATTTGACTGTTGTAAGAACTAAATAATGTATAGTCAGTTTCTAAAAAAGGAATTTTTTTAGTCATTTTCCTAGTATTGTTTCTTACATGAATAAGGACGTTGTAAAAAACAGGCAGATATCACATTACAACATGTTATTATTCTATTTCATCATGAAAAGTATCCTAATCATTATACCTGACCATATTCTAGCCAGTGTCCATCGTTCGATCATTTGATGGAATTTACTTCTCATGACAAGAAAATTTAGTCCTCAAAATGCAGCAGTAGCATTTTAGATGATCAAGAATTTCAATCTTTTTAACCTCCTATGATATTGTTGCACCTTCAGCACTTGACATGTCAAACAAAATTGAGATGATGAAAAACATTTCATGCTGGGCAGATACACCATACCTAACAAAGCCCGACTTACCTTGTAGGTCTTCATTTTCTCGACCGACTCTCGCACTTTCTCCATGACAGGGGGGTCCTTGGATATAACCACGTCGGGAGGCTGCAGGGGGTCCTCCCACTCGAGCGCAAACGGGACGGTGGGCGCGTACGTTCCCACGCGCTTCTTGGCCTGCATCTGTGGTTCATGCAGGATACCTGAGGAGAGACAACAAAATTGAACGTAAGACACAACAGCCAGTTATTCACTTACAAATGCATGCATTGACTTGAAAATGTTGAAGTACGAGTACTGTAACATTTTGTCTTAACAAGTCAGCAGAAACAGTTAGCACCATCCTATATTGGAGTGCTGCATCCAAAATCCTACAAACATCATGAGAACAAGCATGGTAGAAACTGATAACATCAATAACATTGATATGGACTAAACATTAGTCCAAACTTTAGTTTCAACAGCACATCAGGAGAACGTACTGCGCCTGTGTAAAACCCATGTTTGGTCAATGTTGTCAATTTTGGCTGATGCAGACGAAATCTCGGCCGACTCAGCATTTGAAAACAGTACTATAGATTGAAGGGATGTTGTCCTTAAATATGCCAATATGACCTTAAAGGGGGCAGTCTGCCAAAGTGCTATGCAAAAGACATCATGGGTTTTGCACAGGTGAAGTAAGTTCTGCCGACGGGCTTGTTTCTGCCAAATATCAGATGTGATAGAACAATGTAGCATGCCAAGATACCATGTGATAGAACAATGTGGATGGCAAATTCAGTATGTAAAACCCCATGTAAAACAACAGCATAGCTGCATGAATGGGTAACATGTCTGTAACAGTGGTCGTTTTACCAGAGGGGGACTGATCCACCCGCTTCTTTGTCTGCAGCTGTGGCTCATGTAGAGGGCCTGGGAGGGTGGCAAAGTCCCACATGTGCATCAGGGTAAAGCAAGCTGGTTTATGAGCATATCTAAGTCCTCCCAGACCTTATAGCCTTGGTTCATACATTGGCTTCATGCACAATCAAAAACCCACCTCTATTTAACCCAAGTCTTAGATTTCCTGATATCTACAGCTACAAGTGTCTAACACTATAGCATTCAACTCAGTGTTCTGGCCAGCATCTGTCTTTCCATCATTTGACAGAATTTTGCAGCTCATGACTGACAAAAAATTTGCCAAAATTCATCATGTTTGATGGTCAAAAATGGCATGTTAAGATATGGTAAGAGATGCCGTTCTTTTTTTTTTTAATCTTAGTCTGCCAGCTCCTCAAAATGCACGAAATAGCATTTCAAAGCGTAAAGATATACAAACAAAATTGAGGCGACGGAAAAAAATTCAGGCGCGCTAGCAGCTTTGCACACTGATTCAACGTAAAATACCATGCTACAAAAGTACACCTTCTACCAGTACCTTCTACTATTATATTTAAATCATTGACCTTAGCTGTGCAGTGATTAGCTGTGCAGTACAAGCTGTGCTTGTATAAGTTAAGATTTATAAGCCTTATACTGCTAAGACAGTTGAGTTAGGATCCTCGTGCAGTGCACTAAGTGGTGCTAAGTCTAAGACATGCTGAAGCAGTGATAAGCAGGTGCATTACCCGAGGTTTTGGGAGCCACGCGCTTCTTAGACTGCAGAGGTGGTTCTTGAAGGATGCCTGAGTGTGATGACATTGGGGTCATTGGTTGTTATATATATTGTAAACAGGATGGGAAGTGTCTGTATTTTTGGGGGAGATGGACTCAAATAGGTATGTGTAACAAAGTTCTAGTTGAGGACATCTTGGAGATTTGAGAAAATATTGGACTGAATATGTTTTCAAATCTGGATTTCCTGTTCTGTTTTTAAGGCTAAAAAATAGAATCTACATCATTAAGTATAAGGAAAACAAAAAAGTAAAATATTCTGTATTAAGTGGGCATTACTCATTGTCCCATAGCTTATTGTTTTTTTAATGTGTTAGGGGAAAATCGACCAAGTCATTGGGTTACTTAAGAATACTTAAGTCATTGGAATACTTAAGAACATAGCCAACGTACCCAGTTCAGCAGACCGTAGTCCCGCCTCCCTAGACAGCTCCTCCCTGGTTGGCTGGTAGGACGCTGACTTGCGAGACTCTAGCCATTTGTAATGGGTGTCGTACTCAGAATGGCCCTGTGGGGGAAATAATACATGTACCTGTTCATTGAAAGGGACCGTATCAATTTCTCATTATCAAATTCTCCTGGTAGTCATAATCACTTATAAATACTCAGTCACATGTATGGAGGCTGGTACATGTATAAGGACTCTAAAAATACAAATCTAAGTCTTTATAACATCTTTCTTGCACTGATCTTATAATGAAACATACTTAGTATTGTAACAGTTACATTTCCTGCAGTCCATTTTCTATTGTTTGGAAGTATCACAGTTGCCAATTTTGTTGTGTTTGCTACAAAAATACAAGTCACCCTGAAAGTATTTCCATGTTTTAGTCACTGAATGATGCTTGAAGCTAAGAAGCCATTAGCTTTTGTTATTAGTGTTCCTTGGATACAGTTGACGTAGTAGTTGTAGTTGTACACTTGACTGCACCTGCTATAACATGTTTCACTTCAATTCCCAGGAGGTAGTCTGAAATATCACCTGCCTTATACTGTAGGTTGCATAGGTAAGTGCAGGTAATTTCTGATGTCAACCTGTACATAACCTGTACCAGTCCATGTACTGGGTTTGAATGTACATGTATGTGTATGTGGATTTTTATTTGCTGCATATTGACTTTTACCACCTATGAACTATAAGATAGGTAATTACGCATACTTCCTAAATTCTAAGTGGTGCAGATAAAATTGCCTGGTACAGGTAATTTTCAATGCTACCTACACTTGTGCAGATACTGATTTCAAGCCCTGTATTGTCTTCACTTTCTAACGTTACAGGTTAGTTGTCTTATTAATCAGATACAGTGACTACTGATCCAACAGGTGGTTATTCCAACCTGTCCTTTTCAGTACATTTCCCACCTCCGATAGGCATTAACTTGTAGTCATCATTTTAATGTTACATGGATGGGTTCTATATTGTGACAATGACGTGTCTGATCATATTGGTCAACACAACACCACTGAAGATAGTCTTCACAGACAAGGTCATGAATAAATAATTAGTTATAGATCACTTTACAGCTTTGTGGGTTTATTGTTTGGTTTCTAACAAAACACTGTCAGCTCTATGGACTTCGTTCTAATCTACCATTTTAGACTTCAGCCAGGGAACTAAATCTTAACATTCTCAAGGAATGAAACAACTGTGTAAGTTCAAGGTGACGTCTTCGTGAAGAAATTATGTTACGTTACGTGCTGTTGTCATCCAACGTACAGCAACACAACATACATTTAAAAAAAAGATTCATTGTAACTCGAATTCAGCCAGTGACAACACGAAACAAGGGTTTCTTGTGGTTTATGAATTTACCACTAAAAGATCAAGGGATGTTAGCTGTATGTTTTTACGTTACTTTTATCTCTCTCGAAAGCTTACAAGTTAACTAACGTTATATGTTATCTGTGGCTACAACATTTCAATCTAGAATTTTCATCGACAAGATATTTCGATGTCTGTGCATGCCTCCGAAGTGCTCTCATAGTAACGACGGGAAGAAAATCGGCACAAACAAAACCCTGCCTGGAGGCTGGTTGTTCTGGGTTAAATATAACCTCAAAACAAAAGCCTGCAAGGTGGGGAGGGCGATCAGGTGTCCCCAAGCTTCTAGAACTTACCTTAAACTTCACCGGCATGGTTCTCCGCGTTCCTTAGGGTCTGTGAGCGTGGAAATGTTGCCTCTGGGTTAGATGGCGTGTTCCTTTGGGTAGATCTTGAGCTGAAGACTACGCGGGAACTGGCGATCTCCCATTCAAAACAAACTCAGCAGGGACAACACAACGCTTCCGTACGCGCTTTGGCGTCCCTACCACCCGCACATGCGCAGTTAGACACAAGAGCGACTCCGTGCGATAATCAGTAGAAGTGCATACACGAAGCCTTCAAATGCTACAGTGACGGTAAACCATTTGGATTCACTCTATAATTTACTGCTTAGACTTAGTCTTCACTAAAACAATTACTAGAAAAATCGAAGAAAGAGTGGTTTGCATTTTCTCCAGAAAAAATGTTTACAATCGTTCTAAATGGCGTTTAGTAACAAGTTTCCCTGTCTGTGGATATGACGTTCAGCACCAAGGACAGGAAAGGGTAGTTGCCTGGATTGTGGTCAACCAGTTTGAGAAATGAGAGGGTGTCAATTTTCGGTTCGACCAATGACAGAGTGGCTACCATTTTCATGTTTCTATTTAAACTTTGTTGCGGGAGGTTGGTCAATCCACTGGTTCAGTCTACTTAAAGCGGGATGAGTAAGTCATTGATTTCAAATCAATATTAACTTGAATATCAACACTTCTCGTCAATATAACGCAGACATTGTGTTTGACAGATAAGTCGGAAATGGCGTTGCGTGTGTAACTACTTCTGATTGGTTCTCTTTTTTGTTGAATTAGTGATGGTCGATCAGGATTGGATGAGGAAGTTAATTAAATTGTGATCGTTATGCACATCTGTGTGTGATTACACACGTGTGTACACAGGTGGTACGGTTCGCCAAGTTGGACCTCGTGCGACGCATGCTGTTTGTGCGGAGTTATTTTTGCAACTTTTGGGGCAAATTTTCGTCTTTTGTCGTTCTTGGTTTGGAAAATACCTATCGAAACGTGTGGAGTAAGTCTTGGGGATGTTTTTGCGGTGGATTTATGCCGTTCTTTGGATGTTTGAAGGAGAAAATGTGCATTTCCTGACCTGGAGTTTTGGACAAGAACTAGTAAAATGGCGACTGTCTGGCCGCGGGAAGGGTGGCGTGGTGTTGGAGAGGTTCGTTTTCAGAAGGTAAGGCAACAAACTGTCTCTTTAAATGTTTTCCAAACAAACCTGTAACTACGACGTAGTATATTCTGAGCAAACGTTAACGTATGTCTACAAACTTGTCTCACAGTTTTAAGACGATTTTATTTTGCTTTTGAATATTTTTCCTCTGCGTTGTTTTAGAGAACAGTGAATGTATTTCCTTCGTGTCGAGTGACGCTATTAAAAAATAGACCATTTTAGCTACGGAAATGACTGATTTAAAGATGTTTTGTTTGAAATCTCCGCTGGCATGGTGAGTCTGTCTCCGCCGCCACGTGTTAAGACGTGCCGCACCTGGGCAAAATGCCATCAATTTTCCCGCCAAAAAGTTGTGTAAATTTTAAACAAGGCTTCTTCAAAGCTTCACCTTGATACCTTGATACTTCTTCAGGAGAGAAGGCTTCTCGTCTGTCTGTTGTGTCCTGGTCCTCACTCATACTGCGTATAGCGTACCTCCCTCAGTGATATCCTGTTTAGTCAGTAAAGTTTAGGGGTGTTTAGAGGGTACTATTGAAAAAGAAGTACTTTCGTCTCTCCCAGTGATTATCTTACTAGGTTTTGAACCGGACCTTTCCATGATTTGATGGTTGAGAGTCCATGAACAGATTTCCACATGACATGTGTTCCACCAATACAAACGTTACTCACAGTGCTTGTAACTTGTTATGTCTGTATTTTTAGGTGATTGAAGACTGATGCAGGTATGACTCCTGTCTAAACCTGATTTGAGAAGATTGGACCAAACAAGGTGATTTGACGACATCAAATAAATATAAGGTGAGAAAATCTAATTTTGTATTTTACCTATAAATGTTTCTTGGTGTTTTTGAAGCAACTGTGTAACCTACGTATCATGTTGTATAGTTAGGTGACTGCTGACTGATGCAGTAATGATGACTCCTGTCTAAAACCTGACAAGAGAAGATTGCACCAGTGATTTAAAGACACCAGATGAATATAAGGTGAGAAAATCTGAATTTTGTATTTTACCTTGTAAATTTACTTGGTGTAATTTGAAGCAAGTGTCTAACTTATGATGTTGTATAGTTAGGTGGCTGCTGACTGATGCAGTAGTGATGACTCCTGTCTAAACCAGACCAGACCAGACAGGGTGATTTGAAGACCTAATATAAATACAAGGTGAGAAAAACTGAATTCTGTATTTTACCTACCATTTACATATTAGTGTTATTTGAAGCAAGTGTGTAACATACAGTGTTGTATAGTTAGGTGACTGCTGACTGAAGCAGTAGTGATGACTCCTGTCTGAACCTGACATTGTGACAAGGGAAGTTTGGACCAGACCAGACATGGTGATTTGAAGATCCCAGATGAATATAAGGTGAGAAAATCTGAATTCTGTATTTTACCTTGTAAATTTACTTGGTATAATTTGAAGCAAGTGTCAAACTTATGATGTTCTATAGCTAGGTGGCTGCTGACTGATGCAGTAGTGATGATTCCTGTCTGAACCTGACAAGAGATTAGGCCAGACCAGACCAGACAAGACATGGTGATTTGAAGACCCTGTATAAATACAATGTGAGAAAAACTGAATTCTGTATTTTAGCTGCCATTTACATAGTGTTATTTGAAGCAAGTGTGTAACATATAATATTGCATAGTTTGGTGACTGCTGACTGAAGCAGTAGTGATGGCTCCTGTCTGAACCTGAGAAGAGAAGTTAGGACCAGACCAGACCTGGTGATTTGAAGATCCCAGACAAAAATAAGGTGAGAAAGTATGAATTCTGTATTCCCTATCATTTAGTTTGTGTTTTGAAGCAATTGTCCAACTTATAATGTTGCATAGTTAGGTGACTGCCGACTCCTGTCTAAAGCGACCAAGACTTGACCAGACCTGGTGATTTGAAGCAAGTGTCTAACATATACATGTAATGTTCTATAGTTTGGTGGCTGCTGACTGATGCAGTAGTGATGACTCCTGTCTGAACCAGTGCTATGTGATACGAAGATACCAAGTAAATATAAGTTAATAAGGTGAGAAAATCTGAATTCTGTACTTTTTATTTCTATGTCTACATTCAAGCAATGTAGTTAAAATAAATAAATTTCTTATTGTTAGTAAAAAAAACACCTGTTTTCAATCCTGTTTTTTGTTTCCTGGAAATGTTTTTTGTGTGCATCATACAAATTATTCTTTGTACTGTTAGGTGTGTCCTGATGTTCCTGTTCTGAATGGGAAAAGCCTGTGATGACGGACAACTGGAAGACTGTCCAGACTTCAGACCGATGAGTTTGTACAGGTGAGATGATGCTTTACAACTTGCATGTTTATTTGTCCTCTGATGTGTTAAGAACTTGAGGCAATATACAATACAACCTATAATTCCACCTGTAATAGGCCCTGTTCATGTTTCAAAATTTGTTGCAAATTTGTTGCAAATTGATTCGAATTGAATAAATAAATCAAATTATTTGGGAACATGAACGTTCCATTTTGGTTCCGTCGCGATTTATTTTTGTCCACCTTGCGAGGTGGTCTGAATGATATATAATGTTTCGCGTTCATTGAATTGCGATCATTAACGTGCAGAAGCGAGTCATTCCGGGTTGACGCTGTACACCCGGGAATGTGGGGTCAGTCATAGTTCACAGCGTGGCTTTTTGTACAGCTGATTTTTTATGTTGGCAGTTAAGTTGAATGTGGTTAATAAACATGAACGTGCCTGTAGTGTGACATATTTTTTGTTGCAAGGTCAATAGCTGTTTTCACACACTGACTTTTGTTTCTGTCTTCAAGATGCGGACCCGGAGACTGGACTGCCACGGGAGGATCAGAATCCGACTTTTATCGGTGCAGCTGTGTGAAAGAAGATGGGGGGTGTGAGTATGGTTTCTTTGTTAACACAGGACAATACTCCACACACATACTCACATTTCTCTCCCTTATGCCCAGTTCACTCTGAGGGTCCATTAATCGTAGCCAGCCACTTTAATGCCACGTCGTTTGGCCAATCCTAAATTCATTGCAAAGAGCCTGCATGCCCTTTTTTCTTAAACAGGCCTTTTAGTCTTCATAATCACTTAACCCCCCATGCCCATTACTGAAAATCGCCCCCCCAAAATTGTCACACTGTTTGGCCCATCATAAAGTGAGGGCCTGCATGCCCCTTTTTTCTTAAGAAAAAACTGATGTTGGCAGGCCTTTCGTGTCTTCATAATCTGTAGGCAGCTGCCCAAAATCATCGTAATCACTAACCCTCCATGAGTGTCACTAAAAATTGCCCCCAAAATTATCGCTTTGGGCCTTTACCCTGAAATTCTCCATGTTTTTATAAGGTGTAAATGGGCCTTTTTAGTCTTAGTAATCGAATTAGGCAGCCGCCCAAAATCATAACCACTTCCCCATGCAGGCCCCCTTAAAAGCGTCACTTAAAATTGTCACTTTGGGCCCAAAAGTCTCCAAAACTTTTTTCTGCCAAAAAACTTAGGTCTTTCCAAGTTAAAAGTAGACCTATTTTCACAGTAACTGTTGTGTTTTGCTAATTTTTTTAGTCAATTTCCCACCAAAAACTTGGCATAATTGGTACCCTCACCTGGGTAATTAATTGGATTAAAATTTTCCCGCCAAAAAACTTAGTATATAGAGGACTCTAACCTTGAACTTGTGCCCCCCTCCTCCTTACTTCTGAACTGTTAGCTCCACTGCTACTACTCACACAATACATGTTCAACCTTTCTTTCCACTTAACTTCTCCCAACGCTAATGCTACATCAGACCAACCTCCCCATGCACTCAATAGTTCATTGAGCAAAGCTTCTCGACTTCTAGTTTCTCACTCTCCTGTCAGCAATGTACTCAGCGTGCTCCCCAGGGGATGTCTTTTGTGGAGACATGGTGCTTCGAAACACCAGCATTCTTGTACAATTGACTGACACGGAGAGTGAGAAACTACGCTCAATGAACTATTGAGTGCATGGGGAGGTTGGTCTGATGTAGCATTAGCGTTGGGAGAAGTTAAGTGGAAAGAAAGGTTGAACATGTATTGTGTGAGTAGTAGCAGTGGAGCTAACAGTTCAGAAGTAAGGAGGAGGGGGGCACAAGTTCAAGGTTAGAGTCCTCTATATACTAAGTTTTTTGGCGGGAAAATTTTAATCCAATTAATTACCCAGGTGAGGGTACCAATTATGCCAAGTTTTTGGCGGGAAATTCACTCAAAGAAATTAACAAAACAAAACACTGAAATAGGTCTTTTAAAGATAAAGGTTTTTTTGGCAGAAAAAAAGTTGAGACTTTTGGGCCCAAAGCGGCAATTTTTAGTGACACTCATGGGGGTTAGTGATAATGATTTTGGGCAGCTGCCTACAGATTTTTAAGACTCGAAAGGCTAGGTTTTTTTTGTCAGAAAAAAGTGGAGACTTTGGGCGGCTGCCTATCCCCTTACAAGGACTAAAAAGGTTTGTTTACGCCTTATGAAAAAAAGGCACGCAGGCCCTCTCTTTACAATGAATTCAGGATCAGCCAAACATGCAAAATATGGAAAATTTATGTGTAAGGGCCCAACGCAACAATTTTGGGGGCAATTTTTAGTGACACTCATGGGGGTTAGTGATTACGATGATTTTGGGCAGCTGCCTGCAGATTTTGAAGACTCGAAAGGCCTGCTTACATCTTAAGAAAAAAGGGCATGCGGGCCCTCACTTTACAATGAATTTAGGATCAGCCAAACGACGTGAAAAATCAATTAAGTGTTCGGAGGATCTGAATTAAGTGTAAAGCGACAATTTTGGGGCAATTTTCAGTAAGGCCATGTTGATTTGATTATATGGATGACATCCTCTGGGAACCCCAAAACTGATGCGCGCGTGCGAATAAAAAAAAAGTTTGGCCAAAAAAAAAAGTTGCTTTCATTATGAAATCTACGTGGTTTTGAAGGTTGAACAAATGACACAGAGTATGGTTTGGCGAATAATCTACTCTTCAAATTCATTTCTTTACATTTTCGTCTTTTTTGGGTTTGATTTCGGCATTCTACGACAGTGGTATCATTTTTTGCAACTTACGGTATGTCTTTGCTCATTTTGCAACTGTTTTGTACGATTTACAGTATGGTTGAAAACTTTTTTTTTTTTTGGAAACGGCCGAAAATTCATGCGCGCGCGGATGTCATCCATATAATCAAATCAACATGGCCTAATGGGGGTAGTGATTATTTAGAAAAAAGGGCATGCAGGCTGTCTCTTTGCACTGAATTCAGGATTGGCCAAACAACGTGGAATTAAAGGCTACGATTAATGGACCCTCAGAGTAGAGTGAACTGGGCATAAGGGAGAGAAATGTGAGTATGTGCACGTGTGGAGTGTTGTCCTGTGTTAACAAAGAAACCATACTCACACCCCCCATCTTTTTTCACACAGCTGCGCCGATGAAAGTCGGGTTCTGATCCTCCCGTAGCAGTCCAGTCTCCGGGTCCGCATCTTGAAGGCAGAGAAACAAAAGTCAGTGTGTGAAAACAGCTATTGACCTTGCAACAAATTATGTCACACAACAAGCATGTTTATGTTTATAAACCACATTCAACTTAAGTGCCAACATAAAAAATCCGCGGTACAAAAAGCCACACTGCTAACTATGCCCGACCCCACATTCTCGGGTGTACAGCGTCAACAAGTTTTTGGCTGGAAATTGACTTTAAAAATATAGCTAAACACAACAGTTATGGTGAAATGACTACTTTTAACTCGAAGAGACTGACATTTTTCTGCCAAAAAACTCTTAAGTCAAAGCCCAAAGCAACAATTTGGGGGGTGGGAAAATTGACCTAATAAGGAATTACTATGTAGTCAAACAAAGCTACAAACATTGGCTACTTTTTACAAAATGTGTCAAATGTTTGAAAGGGATGTATTCAGTTAAAGGAAACTGTTGGAGGATTTTTAATTCATCATTTTCCTTTGGCGAATGTCCACAACATCGATTTTTCACCTTGTTTACATCAGATTTATGGCCTTTCATCCCCAAATTATGTTTGCAAAGGTGATCCATTTGTTACGACCAGTCCCTCACAAATTGGGGGATATTTGATGTTCACAGCTCAGATGCCTGCCAAATCCACAAGGCCTGTGACGAAGGCGGTCAATATACTTCGTCTAGTTTTAGTGTAAGGTATAACGAATGTCGTGACTGTAGAAGGACTGACATGTATACAACAGCCTACCAAATTCTCTTGGGTGATTACCAGTCCTTAATTTGGCTGCTCTTTATCCTTTTCTTTTCGACGGAGATGTTCTTTTATACACTATACTGTAATATCACCTTTTATTCAAAGTTTAACAGGATTTGGACTTGAAAGGCCCCAAAACTGTCCTTCAGCTATCTGCAACATGACTACATTTGAAGTAGAAAGCAACCTTGTTCTATGATCCTTGCCAATATAGAATTTCACTGATTCCTTAGCCTTCATCCCTACATCTTTTGTTGTCATTCCATAAGGGGTCTGCATGGGACGTCTTGATCACGCTTTGCGCTAAATTACGGCGATAATGATTTACTCTTCATTTGTCTAAATTCTGACTTCAAATCATGCAAAATTACTCGCAATTAGTGCTTACGATGTAGACTGAATTTGACATGTATGACGTTGAATTATGCAAATTTCTGAAAAGTGTCGTACCTGACAGGTATTATGCTTCATTTGTACTGACTGGATGTTTTACACATAATGCACAGATTATGTTTAACGTTTAGCAGAGTTGCCCTGAGCCCCGAATTCACAGTGCTGACATACGCTTTGTGGCATGCAGACCCTTGTGTTTGAAAGACTTCTAAAAATAAAAGTCAACTCACCGTTAAAGTCTGATGTTCTCTTGTCTAGTAGATACAGTGTAGGTGACAGGACACACTGTCAGGCATATCCTCCAGGAATACAGACAGATCCTTCAAGAATATGGACTGAGGTACACAGGATAGCAGACAGGTCCCACAGCACACACAGGAACATGGCCAGGTATACAGTATCAGCTTCCGTAAACTGCAATGTATAAGTAAAAGAAAAAGTGAAAAAAAATCACAAACCAAACTTACAGAATGTCCTTGCATGCAAATAAATATTTAACTTCTAAAATCTGCTTTGGCTTGACAACAACAGCACACTCAAGCTTTATTTAATAGCAAGGTAAAGGAAGAGCTTTGCAAAATTAACATTCAGTCAAAAGTGGACAGAGAAAAGAGAATAGCATGAATACTCTTGACAGGACCTACCTATATGTATACAACATTATAAGTTACATACTTGTTTCAGACAACACCAGGCAATTGGCAGTCAAAATACAGATTTTCTTAGTATACCTTATATTCACATGTAGTCTTCAAATCACAGTATGGTCTGGTCTGGTGAGTCTTGTCAGGTTTAGAGAGGAGTCATCAGTCTGCAGCAACCTATAAACAATATTGTATGTTACACACTTGTCTCAAGTAACACCAAGTAAATGGTAGGGAACATAGTATTACAGAATTAAGATTTTCTCACCTTTAATATGTTCCTCTGGTGTCTTCAAATCACTTGCTCTGGTCTGGTCTGGTCCAATCTTCTCTTGTCAGGTTCAGACAGCAGTCATCACTACTGCACCAGTCAGCAGCCACCTAACTATAGAACATTGTATGTTACACACTGGTTAAAAAAAAACGTAAACGATAGGGAAAATACAGAATTCAGATGTCCTCACCTTTAATACATGCCTTATATTCATCTGGGATCTTCAAATCACCAGGTCTGGTCTGGGCCAATCTTCTCTTGTCAGGTTCAGACAGGAGTCATCACTACTGCATCAGTCAGCAGTCACCTAACTATAGAACATTGTATGTTACTCACTTGTTTGAAAAGACAACAACACGTAAATGGTAGGGAAGTACAGAATTCGGATTTTCTCACCTACTATTCATCTGGGATCTTCAAATCACCAGGTCTGGTCTGGTCCAATCTTCTCTTCTCAGGTTCAGACAGGAGTCATCACTACTGCATCAGTCAGCAGTCACCTAACTATAGAACATTGTATGTTACACATTTATTAAAAAAACACATGTAAATGGAAGGGAAAATACAGATATTGGATTTTCTCACCTGATATTCATCTGGGATCTTCAAATCAGCAGGTCTGGTCTGGTCCAAACTTCAGTTCTCTTGTCGGGTTCAGACAGGAGACATCATTACTGCATCAGTCAGTCACCTAACTATACAACATTATATGTTACACACTTGTTTCAAATAACACGAAAAAAAAGGTAGGTAAAATGCACAATTCAGATTTTTCTCACCTGGACTAATACTCCTGGGTCTGATCCCGATACCTCCATGATCGCAAGTGTCATCTGGTCTGAGAGACACAATAGCTAAGTCTAAGGACACTGATAGCCACACTATTCTATGAAAAACGGCGAAGAAGAAATAATAGTTACAACTTGTTATCGGCCTTGCTATACATTGTAAACATCGATATCCACTGGCTTTATTGATTTCAGAAATTGCTGATGGCTACATAATTATGAAATTCGTAAACAGCGATGATCAAAGTCGTTAAGTTTCTTTAATATTTCTATCCCAGTTTTTCTCACGGTGTTGTCAGGTTTAAAGTAAAGAAACACCGTGAGAAAAACTGGGATAGAAATATTAAACAAGCATCCAATGCAAATTAAAAATCCAAAGAAACTACTGGCACCATAACGTTTGGTGTTGTCTAATTGGTCTAACGAGAAAGTGCACAAGCTTTCTAACAGAGTACAATGCAAAGGATAATAGAAGAATGGAAATATAATCAACTGAACTGAAGTTTCAAAACGTTGAGGATCCAGACTTGTTTACACAAGATTTTGGAGGGAAATTAATTATGCACACGTGCACATTCCAACAGGTGTTTTCTAACCACGTGGAGAAGTACAGAAGACAGTTTTCGTAATAATGCATTCTTTTTTCCACAAAAATGACCTCACAACGTTATATAATTGAGAAATGAGACCAACATAAATATGTGACATGTTTTTACTTTAGTTGCTAGGGAATTATGTCAGACAAATAATTTGTTGCTTACCTATACGGAAAGGTGAAGTCGACTCCGAACCGGTACCAAGCACTGCAAGCAGTCTTCTCTAACATTCAACAGGTCAGGAAATGCCGGTATTTTCACCTTAAAACACTATGAGAGCGGCAATAAATCTACCACGAAAACTCCAGTCTTTCTACCACACAGTTTAGACAATATTCTACCGGCTAAAACTAAAAAAAAGGCCCGGAAAGTACTGTAAAAAAACACGAGACAGTGTATTCACGCCGTTCCAGAGCGCCAATTCTCACGAACCACGCCACGTGGTTCTTCTGACACAGCTGTTGAAAACGACCATGGCTAATTGTTTGGAAGGCCATATTGATTTGATTATATGACTGGCATTCTCCGAGGACAAAAAAAGACTGACAGAAAGTTGCCTTCATCGTGAAAGTTGTCAGAAAGGTTCTCCAATGTCTTGTCTTTCAAGAGGAAAGCAATTTTTACCGAATCAGTTCAAGGATAAAACGCGCCAAAAAATTGATGCTCTTTTCTAAATCAGGAATATTAATCATTTTTACGATATGTAACTTGTTGAATATGACGTTTTGTTTACAAAGTTGCTAGGGAATAATGTCAGACAATAGTTTGTCGTTTACGTGTCCTGTAAGGAAAGGTGAAGTCCACTCCGAACCATGCAGTTCTTCCCAAACATCTCGCCATTTTGTTGTCTTCTCCATCCAACATTCACCAGGTCAGGAACTCCACATTTTCTCCTCAAAACACCATGAGAATGGCAATAAATCCACTACGAAAACTTCCATCGTTGCACTACACAGTTTAAACACACATTCTACCGCCTAAAATACGAAGAAGTACCCGAAAAGTTGTACAAAAATAACATCCCAAAATATGTACCAAAGCGCCATTTTGAACTAACCACACCGCACGTGGTTCTTTTTACACAGGTGTTGAAAACGACAAGGAAACACCTGTTGTTGCATGGATCAAAATTGCCCCCTAGCGGCCCAAAAATTTACTACAGTATTAGAACAGCTTAGCGAACATATATATCGCAAATGAGTATCTTGATTGTACAAACACACTGGTTTAGGTACAGGTCACAACAAAATAATACAGCATATACTTAACGTATATAACAATTTATATCTACGTATATAACATGTTATATCTATAGTACATTCTTGTATCAGTGCTATGAATTATGCTTCAGTTCGTCATTTAACTGCTAGAGGGCACTTTTGATCCATGCACTTCGTTCATCTTTCTTTATTCACCTGTAAGCCATAACTTGTATACAACTTTAATATCCCTTTTGGACTTTAGACTTGGATTTAACTATGCGTTTCCAACTTCCAAGCAGATGTTGGGAGGCTAAAGTGTTACATTTTTCTTGCTTGTCATTTGTCACAAACCATCTCCCAACATATATCACCCTTGTTTTCTGGGACTTGTCATTGATTATGCAAATAAAGTCCCAAAATCATTCAGACCTGCACATGCAATACTTGCCAATTGTTCTTTCAGTTCAAGGAAATATATTGCATTGTTTTGCTTGCATGCATGACTTTCTAAAATACATGTACTGGTATAATACCCAGACAGTAGTCATCAAAATGGAGACAAAAACATATCAACCTTTAGTTCACTTTTATTGTGCTCTTCCCCACAGAAACTGTGAAATGTTTGAAATGTAATGACAAGTGCACTGTACTGAATCTACTAGAGTTGTTACATGTCAGATCAGCAAGCTACACAATTCTATTAACGTCTACTAAAATGTAAAACTAAAACAAAAACGTCTAAATTATCTGAGGGTCTACTAAGGGTAGGGCTTTGTAGTTGGTTCCATCAACAGAAATTAATAAATTGTTACGTTGGTGAGGTAAGAATTTACGCAATTAGTGAGTGTTACATGAAAAAAAAAACTAAACATACAAAATTACAAACAATCTATGAAATTAGAGTTTTCTAAACTTTTTTTTTCTAAACATAGTTTTCAATTTGAGAACTATCAATAGAAGTACACCATTTGTTCATCACTTTGTACATTTTTAGTATTTTTACCCCCATGGCAAATATTTTTAACAGAACAGGAACATTATAACCTACTATTGTAACAAACTGCTTGTTTGCTGTATTGACCAACAGAATGTTTAACTTGTGTTGTAGTACAAGAGCTTCAAAAGATTGTGAATACGTTTACACTCCTAGTCCTAGTCTGCCATGACAAAATCAGTTAAAATTAGGAAACATCCGAACGGAAAAAATTGTAACCCATCTGACTTCTGAAGCTGTTTCCTCTTAGACTAAACTTCAAGATAATTTTGTTGCCAACAAGGGTGTATTTTTTCCAGTTTTGTGATTAACAAGCACAGTATATACAATTCTACAAAAATACTGCTCTACGGATCACATATTTATAATACGTATGGAAGTACTACTGGTTGTACTTTTGTTCATCTAGACTCTCTACAGTTTCTTGTTTAGACGAGCACCTATTTTTTTAGTAATGCTATTTACAAGCAGGTTTTTCCATGGCCGTTACATCCACTGCAGACCTCTTATAAGTTCTTTAGGATGCAACAAGTTCACCTTGTGTAATTATATTTTCCATTCAACAGTGAATGTGCACTAACACCACAGCTGTATCTGTAAACAACTACTTATTATAATGCCCTTTTTGTCACATCTGACATACAACAATGGACTGTACATGAATGAAGGTTGTAAGGTTACCTGGCTACCTTCAAACCATAGGATCACAGTCACCCCTTCACTGGAGTGGACTGGTCACAAGTTATGTCATGCAAAGCAAAGCTTGGGTGATACCAGTTTATCACAGGGGTGCACAATTGGGGTGTATAACAGTACTCAACTCAACAATGTATTCAAGTAGTGAATACACCGCGCATGTGGAATTTATGCTTTTCTGAAACAGCGTACTATTATGTATCATACAAAGGACTGGGCATGCACTATTCATACAATGTAGTACTGCACAGTTCCAGTACTGCATGATTTTTTGAGAAGAAAAAAATTCACTTCTGACATCCAACCCCAATGTGGAGTGACATAAGAGACCTAATATTTCTGGATAATGCATAAAAGAATCAATTTGACTTAATTTTCATGATACTGATACATCTTTTCCACCACAGAAATTACACCACTCACCACAAGCGGGTTAAAATATCTTCATTCATAAGTATTAACAATAGAAATAGTTCAAAGATTTTAGAAATCATCCCAAAAGTCTAGAGATTACCCTAGAATCTATAACCACATCAACAACAGCATAGTTTTACACACATCGCCTGTATATTTCATATAGTAATATCTGCACGGAACTACTCTGTAGCTCATATTTAACTCCCACTGTATTTACATCAACAATTTTGGATCACACCACTCTGTATAATCACATCACACATTTCATTAGTCTCATCAACTTATAACAGACACTTTGCTCAGACGTTTTGCCATGTACAGATACTTCTGTTGTGAAACAATCCGATACCTTCCACTTCCAATAATATATACAACTTCTCCTTTAGTTAACCTATTGCATTCCAAGTTCCCAGGTCACCAGTGCAAATGTGGGGGCAATCTGTAACCTGTAGAATGCTTATGGTTTAACTACCATCTGAAGTCTGTTGGGAAAAAGTTTGTCATCAATTTCCTTTCTCCTGTATTCATCGACTTGGGTGTCATCTTGTGGCCTTCTTGAATCTGTACCCTCCATTGTCTCCTTGTCTCTCCTTGATTTTCAAGAGTCATCATCCTTTCCTTCTGTCGCATGATTCCATGTAGTGTCATTCTTGTACACCTGGTAGTATTAGTATTAGCGCTATTGTCTAGGGTAGTCACAAGTCTTAGTGGTGTGCCTTTTCACGCCTGTAGTTCCAGCACGTTCTGCTAGATGGCTCACTGTCATTGGAGCTGCAGGAGATCAGGATGGTCCTCCATACTGTTGATGCTGCTGCGTCGGCTGCCGTCGGGGGACACTGTGGCGGACAACATGGGGTCCCCGGCCGGGCCTTCATCCATCATGTCCTCTAACGTGATGGTGATGGCAGGAGCCGGGGCTTCGGACGGGGAGACTGCACCTCCGCCCTCAGCCAACAGGAGGCCCTCATGTCTCATGAACTGTTCGGTGATTTGTGAGGTGGAGGTGTCGTTGGTTAGGGGCGTCGTCGGGATGCTGTGAGCACGACAGTGCATCTCCAACTCCTGGAGAGATGCCACAAAGGATAGATTAAAATTTACAATAAACAATTGAACAACATCTTAGTGCAGATTTGCATAATTCAATGAATGAATGGCTTTTAGTCAGTACTAGTATATTTGATTCAAACCACAGTCTTGCAGGCAACCATTAGACCATCAGTGGGCCAACTAACAGAAAAACTGTGCTACGTTTGCATGTTGGCAGAACGTACTATACCTGCGTGAAACCCGACATGTACTGTGGATAGCACTTCGGTATTTAGGTCGTGCTCGCGTTTTAAAGTATGCCATCCCATCTATAGATTTTCCTGATGTTGTATCAGGAAAGATATCGTCTACAACAGGCAAAATTCTGATACAATATTGACCTACGATACCGTGTGTCAAAAATTGTGTCAAAAACAATTGACAATGTTTCATTACCTTTAACATTTTGCTGCATTTATGTCTCACAAAAATTGACTTTACAGTTGTTACTATGCATCATAATCCAAGTAAACAACTCACTGCAAATGTTTGTTTACCTGTATTCTAAGTAACATTTTCCTGTTCATCTGCTCCATCTGTTTCTGCCTCTCCTCCATGTGCCTCATGCGCTCGTGTTCCTTCTTCAGTCGCCTGATGTAGTCCACAGATGCCTTCAGGATGGTGCCCTTATTCCAGCGCATGTCACTAACAACACAAATCACATCAGTTTGTCAAAAACATGATTTATTCAAGTAACATTCTTAATATTATTGGTATAACCACCCTTCGGTGTAACACACCAGCTTCACAGGCATGCGGCGCAGTGGCAGCTAGCTGTATTCCACCAAACGACCTGTTACACCCAATATTTGCACATTTAATTGCAGGAGTTGTATAAAGCTTTCTAGTGTCCCAACTGTGCTTCCACTCTACAATAGCTCCTAATTTTTTAACATCTCAATTCTTGGTTGATACCTCTGATATTTGACGGCATGACTGTGTCTTGTTCTATTCTGGGCTGGAATCAGTTGCTTAGTAGTTGGTGTGTCTACCAGTTTATTAGTCATGTGTACACCATGCATAGTCTGGACATTTTTTGTCTGTCTTCCAGCGACACCCACCGTCGTCATCATGGAGTTCCTAATGCCAATACATGTATGTTGTGCGTGTTCTGGGGCAGTTGATCCAATTATCTCAATAGCCAATCAGCAAGAAGAACCCACTGTAGGTTTCGTTAACTGATAGTATAACACTTACGGGTCTGCTGTCTTTGGCAGCAGGGTCCCCAGCTCCTTGATACGGTCGTTGATGTTGAATCTTCTCCGTCTCTCAACTGGAATGACGACAACACCGTTCAGTTTTCAAAAGACTTTAAATTCCCGAGCAAACCTGCTTGTAAAATCCACAGTTTTTCATACTCTATTAGTGTTCCGTAGAGTTTGAAGTAAGATGGACCAATCTTTAAACAATGTGTACAAACTAGAGACCTTTTGTATTTGAAATGTTGAAATACGATAGATATTTATGACCAAAACAATTCAGAACACTGATAGAGGTATAAAGTAAGGGCCAACCTTACCCCCAATGTTTTAGCTTACACCGATTAAACTATCACCAGTTAAGTACAATAACAGTAATGTGGGGCACCATGAATACAGGCCTTCACCAGTTATTAGTTGGCAGAAACATGGGTTAACAATGACCATAGCCTTCCTGTTCACAGTATGAAGAGAGACGGAAAGACAGAGACTTGAAGAGAGGAGAGTAGGAAAGACCTTGAATGATACTTGAAGGCCTAGGCAGTTCCTAATGCCATGTATGTTATAGCTTGTACAGGTGTTCTGAGTAAGTTGATATAATTATCTCAATAGCCAATCAGCAAGAAGAACCATCACCTGCAAACCGGCCAATCAGGCCATGCATACAGAATGAACTGCTACAGATCTGTAGGTGTAGTGATAGGAATCCAGGACTCTTAACTGAAGGTTAGTAGGCTTTCTATTATTGAAAGACGTAGTCCTACCAACAGTTTATAGCACTGGCATGTCTTACTTTCAACAAGGCCACCATTTGAGCCAGAAATTCTGAGAAAGAAATGATAATTTGGTGATGGCTGTGTTTTCAATGTGTAGCGGGAGGGGAGATACAGTATAGCCAGGGATAAGATTTACCAAGAAGGGAGATACACAGTCAGCTATGTTATATAAGGGTAGCTGAATACAGTACAGGGGACACACTGCTGAAGTGGATATGGGACTGACAGCATATAAAGAGGAGGAATAAAAGCCTAGTGTGGGGGAGCAATGTAGGAGAAATTTACACTGAATAGAAGACCGATTAGTAAAGAACTGTGATCGAACAGTTTCTGAAACTGTGATAGTAAAATTACTACAGGCTTGACTAGCCTTGAGGAAAAATTACTACAGATTTGAGGAAAAATTACCACAGGTTTGAGGAAAAATTACCACAGGTTTGAGGAAAAATTACCACAGGTTTGAGGAAAAATTACCACAGGTTTGAGGAAAAATTACCACAGGTTTGAGGAAAAATTACTACAGGCTTGAGGAAGAAGGGGTTGAATGAGAAGGAAAGAAATGCAGGAGTGAAAGGTGGCTTGAAGATTGAAAGGTAGAAGGATTGACGTGAAGCAAAAGATGACAAAGATTGGACGAGGGCAGGAGAATGGAGCGAGGGAGTGTGAGTATGGAAGGATGGACTGCATACTTATGTTGTGGTTGTCTTTCTTCTGCCTGTCCTTGGCCAGAGCCATGGCCTGTTCAGGTACCCCACCTATCCACCCCACCATCTCAGAATAGCCCCACTCATCTGCAATGGAAGGAAAGGTTGGCCCATGTCAAATAACAAACCTCCACCCCCACCCCCTTAAGCTTCTAGCATCATCTTTCAGATGTAGAGGTCAACACGATTCTACTACACATGAGGACATATGTATAACCTATGAGAAAGAGTCTTCTTTTTCATGGTTATTGCAACTAATACATACATATCAGGGACTCAAAATTGAGTTTGAAAAAAGAGGAGCAAAGTTTTCTGCAGACAGTTGGAAATCTCAAGTACCGTACGGTGGTAAGAAATGAGAAGAAAAGGAGCATATCAGATATTCCCTGACAGCAATGAAGTTCTTGAATTTTATTTTGCTACAAATATATGCTATCTGAATCCTGGAGGGACAATCATGTGTTACAGTAAAACTAAGAGAGGTACAGTTTTCAGATTTCTTGCTCTTCCTCCATGCCAAACAGCAAAAACTTGGTACATGTACATATAAGACATAACTTTGAAAGTCTAATCTGAGGTGTTGCTCAAAACAAGACATGAATTAAAAAAGTATGATGTATTCTAAAAAGTAGAGCACATGTAATATCTGGGTTGGTAAAATGCAGTTGAATCTGCCATGTGTACATGATACGTACTCATGTTATGGTTGTCCTTCTTCTGTCTGTCCTTGGCCAGTGCCTTCAGCTCGCTCTCCGACATCTGTACCGGCTCCTTCTTGATGTTGGTGAGGTCGGCAGGACAGGACGCCGACGTGTTGGCCGTGACCATCGGCGTGAGGGAACCCACCGTGCCGAACCCATCCAGCAGGCTGGACGTCAGCGGCATCTGCAGAACAAACCCACCAATCACGAATAGTGTTACAAAACAGAGTTATAGAAAAGGAACAAACTGACCTGAATCAGGACTAATGTTTTACAAAACATACTTGTGGAAAAAGAACAAACCGACCAATCAGGACTAATGTTACAAAACATAGTAACTGTTGTGGAAATGAACAAACCGACCAATCAGGACTAATGTTATTAAACATAGTTGTGGAAAAAGAACAAACCAACCAATCAGGACTAATGTTATAAAACATAGTTGTGGAAAAAAGTGTACAGCACAAAAAGCCTTTTATTTTTGACAAGATGTTAACATAGTGCAATATGCTAAGGGTGGTTTGTTCTTTAATAATAAAGAGTATTTATAACAACTGACCAATCAGGATTAATGTTACATATTTGTGTTAAAAGTCTAGCACAGCACACATCTGATTACAAATGATCAGTGTCTGTCTCTTATGTGACTGATTATTCCCACGACTATTTGTCATGCTAGGCGGTACAGCAAAGAGAGCCTTTTATTTTTGACAAGCTGTTTGTGCAATATGTTATGGGTGGCTGGTTCTTTGGAGTAACAGGGTCACAGAGGTTTCTATACTTGTATGCAACGTGTCAAGCCCAATGTTGAAAATATTGAACATTCACAATCATGCCCTCAATCCATGAATCAGATGTTGAATGTAATCCCTACTGTCACATGTATTGAATTTGAATTCAACTTCCTCACAACCATTTATCTTCCTTGCAATCTGAGATGACCTCTGGAAAAATTTTGATACCTGGTCTGGAAATCCAAAATAGTGACAGTACCATGTCAGAATGCAAGAATGCGCCCAAGAAACCTTTAATGTATAGCATATTACTTTAACACAGTGTCTTGTTGAATATCATATTCTTGTATTTAAGCATGACATTCCATCTATAGTTTTCAAATATTGTGTCGGAAAAGATACTGTCTCCAATGGTCTAAAATCTCATGCAGCTTTCACAAAAGATCCAACAAAAACTGTGAAAAATCTATGTTTAGCGCAGGCGTAGTACCTTTAACTTCTAATTAAAATCAATAACTCTATAATAATGCTATAAATAAGTGAGCAGTGTTTGTCTTTTTTGTGACTGATAATTCCCACGACTATTTGTTTAACATGTATATTTTACATGCACGAGTTGTTGACTGTGATTTGGGGATATCTCATTGAACACCTGGTCTATCTTTCCACATTACTTATCAGAAACAACTGTTCTCCAGCTGCGTGTAGTTAATGCCAGAGGCAGTAGTGACACAATAAGAGGAACAGAAAATATAATTGTTGCACAAGGTGCGGTACCTGCTAGACAGGTGTTGGTGGGACAGGACTTGGAACACAATAGGATATGTTTCCCTTTGTTACACCTGAGCTGACAAGTCTTGCAAAGTCTTGACCAGTGTTCAAGCCCACTTGAAAAATTGTGTCAAGCACCCAAGGTACAACAATCCTAGGGGGTCTGCGGGCATGTTCCCCCTGGAAAATTTTTAAATCTTGACCTTCTGAAATGCTTCCAATTTCTTTAATTTGGAGGAGAAAATTCTGCCAGTAGACTTTATATTATAATGCTTGGTCTTAAGGACATTGCTTTTTAAATCTTAAAGTTTATATCTTTTAGATCTTTTGTACGACAAAGATGATGGACTAGGCAACACTTAAGCTGTCATGAGCAGCAAAATTCTGTCAAATGACACAAAAAGGGGTGTTGGCTGGAACACGTGTGTCCCACTGACTGACTTCTTGTCTTTACTGAACCGTGTTTGAGCTTCTGCACGTGTGCTAACTACATGTGTACAGGCTAGCTACATGCTTCATGCACTTTGTACTTCATTGGGGTCACAGTCCTGAGCACCTCAATGTTCCATTCTAAAACTACTGATCAATCGAAACTTTAAATCCAAATCATAGTTACAAAATGTATATGAAATACAAATTAAACATTTTCTGCAGTATTCTATTGACAATGTTAATGCAATAGTTTGTGAAGAAATTACAACTTACTCTATTAGACTAATATCCAGATGACTGATATTGATAAGATCATTCATTGGAGTTTGCAGATCTAAATATGAAAATAATAAAAAAGTAGACCCAGTCTTACTTACTTCAACAATAACTGTTGAGACATGTTTGGATATGTTGGAGGTGCGATGTCTCCTAGAGCACAGGATGGCCTTGTGCACAGGCATGGTGCAACTCTCTCAGTCTACGTATACGTACTACTGCCACAGTTTAAAATCCCACCCCCTGTACTTTGTTCGTCTTTTATTGTTCCGCCAACATTGTGATGACAATGCAAACACCTGGTTGGCTGAAGCCTGTGACAGCGACAGGGGCGGGACTCGTAAACAAACTTTGACCACTGGGAGTAAAGTTACAGAATGGATGGTGGGGATGTGTGTGTTAAAAAGTTAACTTGGCTGTTTTTTTTCTGCTTAATGGGTTATTTTGGTTGTTATTCCTAGATAGAAATTTACCTCAACTTGCAAGCACCCCTCCCCCCATAATGCTCATAATTGGTCTATGTCTAATATGATTGTTTTAACACACTATGTATACAATACATAGTGTGCTGGGAACATGTGGACTGGCTTCACTTTTACCGTTATAAAAACACTTCACACCTATAGTTTTGTAATCTTTAATGAATTATGTAGCTTCTTATAAAAGATATCAATTCAACTTTAGATACTGGATTCCTTCTATAGTTGATATCTTTGTTTTGCAAGTCAGCCTGAAAATTTTGTGCACAATTTTGTGCTATACTTGAACATCTTCTAATAAACTTTCAAATGCAATATACTTTTCTTGAATCTAATGTTGCCTGACTAAAAGAACTGATTGATTTCTAAACTAGCATGATCCTTCAAAGATATGGACATTCCATGCAAATTATGCCCATGCCTCCTATTGGGTGGGCGTTGTCTAGTGTGTCTACTACATGTATCAGCAAGATTACTTGTATTAGCAAATCTATGTGTAATCAACAGACAACTGCTTTTCCAAAGTACCTGGTGTGAAATACTCTAAAACACTTGCATTTCAAGTCTTTATTATGGGTAATTAAAGACTGAAAACTAACACTCTTTCAACGTGTAAACAAGCTGGCTACGCATTTTTGGACCAATAATTTCCAACCGGAACCTTATTTGTCTGCTGGCCAAATCTGTACACCTGAGCTCTGTATGACCTTTAACCTACCAAAGGTCAGCAAAGGCAAACTAGGAGAGGCCCAAGTCCTTTTTGATAATGATAGGCATACCATGTCTAAAGTCCTCTATGTTTGGGACTTCACAAATCTACCTTTGGACCTCCATACAAATTTCTTTAGGCCTGTTTTGTGGAAAAATTAACAATAACTGATTGATTACTAATTTTATGCTTATTGCATGTAAAATAATAAATAGGTTAAATATAAAATTTTTGAGTTTTCATAATCATTACAACTAATGATGGACCTTTGCTTGAAAATTGTTTTCAAATGCTTTTGTATGATGTCAGGGCTCAAAATATCACCTGTATGTGTAGGTTAGTGCAGGTAAAATTCGAGCTGTGCAGGTATTTCTAATGCCTACCTGCACCTAACTGTACAACATATACACATTTGGATGTAAACTATGTGGATTTTGTAGATTTGCTGCATTGACTATTGCCACCAGACCTATGATGTATAAGGTTAAAAAAAATAATGGCAATAGTTTCCAGACTGTTTTAGGATGACTAAATTTTGAATGATGCAGGTAAAATTTGTCTGGTGCAGGTAACTTGCAAAATGCAGAGAAAGGGATTTTGAGCCATGACCAGGCTGTTTGCTTGTTGTTGTGCAATGCTTTGACATGTTTTTATGTGATGTTGTGAAAGTGGGGTTGTGTGGCATAATAGTAGAGCATTCCGCTCAGACCCAATAGGCCCCGGGTTCAAATCCTGCCATGTCACCAACCTTGCTTGTGTCCTTGAGAAAGGCACTTTACACAACTTTCCTCGAGTGTTTATGAGTATGCCAGAATTATCATGATCATGAGCATTAAAAGAAAAACAAAACAAGCAAACAAACAAACAAGTGCTGCTCACCGTGGACGAGATCTGCGGGATGGGAGTGTCCAGGAAGTTGAAGCTGTCATCGAAGCTGGACTCCAGGCTGATGATGTCATCTATCACGTCGTCCATCTACAAAACACAGAACCAAAGCAAAAACTGTAAGATACAGACAGTAACTTTCAAACGCTATTGTAAAATCAACTTTGAAATCCTTCAGGACTGAATTGCACTGATTTTACAGTAATACACATATAAACAACCAGCATCTAAACAGCATTAAAACGACATATCATTATTCAAAATTATTACAATCAGTCAAAATCAACAATGACAAACATTTACGAGTTCTGTAGGCATTACACAGATAACAATGTTCTTCAGATAAACCAGTACCACCATTCTGCAAAAATGCATTCACAGGAAAACTCTGGAAGTTACAACATCTACACTAAAGTCTTTTGCCTCACCTCAAACATCTTTGTTGGAACATAGGAAATAAAGTATCTAGGATTTCCTTCCTATAGACATACTAGTAAACTGAATGCTGTCTCCCACTAGCTGCCTTTGGGAACTACATGTACATAGACCAGGATATTAACACTACTTTATCCTTAATGATGTTCTTCACAACCAACCAGCTTCAGGTACAGAATTTGTTGATCTACTTTAGATTCTGGAAGGCGTCAGTTTGCTTACTTGACACCGGGGACATCACTTAACGATAGAGATCACAAATAATTCAATCACTGGAACTAAATACAGTTCTGAAGGTCGTTCATGGACATGCATGTAAGGTGAGAAGCAACTGATACCATACCAGTACTTCGGCCAAACCTTTGCAACATTGTAGATATTAAAGGCAATTATATCAACGTCATAATATTAGAGGACAGAGACCATAACATAACAAGAGAGGATTTTGCCATTAGCCATTTAGTCTATGCTGTTGCTGTTTCTGTGAACAGTGAAACCTAGCTCTCACTCAATACTATAGATGAGTTGTAATTCATAGAACGTGTCAGAAGCATACCTTTGTACTTCAAACATGAGATACTTAAATGTACGTATACCTCCATGACTTGCTAACTTGTGAATACATGCATGTCAGTTGCCTTGAGTATTATGCAAATACATTTGTACCAAGAAAGTAAAGCAAATTTCACTGTGTAGTATTATCTGTCTAGTAAATATTTGGTGCTGTCTTTTTGGTTCACATTTTGTAAATTCATTCGTTCTATGGCATATACAAATTGAACAATCATATTTGTGAATCTAAAACTGATATCATAATAAACATCACTATAAGGGAACTGAGGTTTCTATTTGTGTGAGACCACCTGTGACCGTTACAGCGATGTAAACAACTTTGTCCTTCAGCGAATGTCCTGGTCACCTCTGTCACCCTATTGGTGGCAATATCGTCCCTCGTTAATCATAGCAAACCCCTTCCATGTACGTACACACTAGACAGCTAGCCTAATTATAAGCATGGCCACATATGGCAGGTTCAACAACACTGTAGAAGACATGGCACGTTTTACAAGCAGTTGGCTCTATACCATATGATTTAGTTAGAGTGCTTTTTACATAGGCTTGGCCTCTTATACTAAGACATCAAAATATTACCACAAGCAAATGTCACATAAATTTGCACTACTGGGTAACAACACAAAATATTTTCCAAACCTGACAAGAATTGTAGATTTGCTCCACTATCTTGTTGAGAAATGCTGCTCTGGCCGCTCCATAGTGTTTAGAATCCATTATACTTGTAATTCTTGGTTCTGGTAATTGTTAGTACAACTCTAGAGCCTGTGCCATATACTGTATGTACTGTAGTACTACTAGTAGTATGACTGGTTCTAGACAAGCAGCAACCTACACTGACTGACAGACACCTGTTTTGTCAAGATTAACATAATGCCTTCCAGACAACCACAGACAACCATATGTCACCTACCGTTCACAGACAAACAGCCATTCAACATTTTATTTGAATAGATAAACCATAACAGCAAGCCAACAAACCAAGCAGAGAAAATACCATAGTTAGAAGAAGTTTTGCAGCAATATATATGGAACAAATGTCCATGTGACGATAATGTATACTCCCCTATCCATTTGGTGCTTTGACATTAACCTACTTTGCAGATTAAACATTCTAGGACCCATTAAGACTTAACTATTCAATCTGTAACATAGCCCCACTTTCAGGAGTTACAAATGTAGGTACATTTATTTTGCCACATGGGTTGAGCAAGTGAAGTTACTAGTTGAAAAGCCCTGTCTGACAAACTTAATTGTTTCACCCAATTTCCTCATTTACAATAACAAAGCCCAAGTTTTCATTGTTTGACATAATTAAGTTAATTTGTCTAATCCCTGAACAAAAGTCTAATTTCTTGTCTGGAGAGAGTATTTCCCAAGTTGCCAACGTATATTCATATTGTCTTTTTTCATGCACATGTTATAATTTGACATTCAATTACAAAATTCAATTTGGAAACAACTAAATCGTGACGATACCGTAGCTTGTCCACACCAGATGGCTATAGCTATCTGCTTGAAATGGATGTGAATATGGCATTCAAATACATGTACCATTTAAGCAATAACAAACATAGAATTTGCCATCTGCAAACATTAAGAAATCCAAATCATTCACTACATAACTGTGCAACAATCTATTGTACAAGAAGGATACTCATTTAGTGTTCTTCTAACATAAAGAATTTATGGTAACCTGAGAAGGTTCATAACACATTCAACAAGAAAATGACACTTCAGATTCCATATACGTAATACATTGTATCACTGTGGCAAAAATTGCCTTTTAGAACATTACATTTTTGATAGAAAAGCTGCAAAATGACCCTTCATATTCATTTTACATACACATCACTGGTCTGAGGAGATTCAAATCAAATAGCAACATTTTTCTTTTTAGTAAAATGTTCATGCTTTGCAACCTTCAATCATAGACATATAGTAAACAACTCTGCCCTTCAATAAAAGTCAAAGCATCCTCTACCAGACCTTGAACAATCCACAATATGTTTCACAATATTGGTAGAAGACTTGTATACAAGGCACATGGCTGAGTGTTGTGGAAAAACAGCCGAAGGTATCATTTTGGCATTTATGATTTAAGCTACCCACTTAAGAACATTGAACATTCTAGCCCTAAGAGGACCATTTACTCGATGGAGCCCATATGTTAGATATTTGGAAGAAATATTGCAATAACGCTAGCTTTTGACAGCCAACAGTCTAGTATCTGATATCTGCACTACTCTTTCCCTTTTTACAATACCGAAAATTTTGGAAGTATCCTGGATAATTCTTCATAGTGATATTGATCAATATTTCTCTACGCGACCTCTATACAGCAACAGATTATCATATCTTCACATATGCATTTTTTTTAAAGTCCAATTTTAACGTCATAATCAGGGATTAGACGTGCTAGCACCAAGTGCAAGTCTTCTTTTTTTAAGCAAGATTTTTACAGCTGGATGCCCTTCCTAACGCCAACCCAAACCCTAGTAGGGCCCAGATCCCTCTAAGTCTAACTGAACATATGGATGAAACAAACTCGTGCCTCTCCCCATCCCTACCTTTCTCAGACAAAACTCCACACCGTTTTTCTGCATGTCATACTCCTGAAGGATACTGAGCCTGATCCACTTCCTCTCTTCTTCACCAATGGGTATCTCTTCCATTCTTCTCTGACCAAAAAGAAAAAGCAGTGTGCTTGACGAAATAGGTGCAGTAAAAATGCAGCTTTCTCTAAGCCGGACACCTCTTTTTTTATTACGCAGCTGGCAGGGTTTGACCGTCCTAATGTAGTAATGATCAGATGACCTTCATCGCTTTGCTAGGTCGTTGTCGTGGCGATCCATCTGCCATTAGGAGGGTGATCTGTCTGGTGTAGCCAATGGGAGGACAGCTTGCAGACACGCCCACTGACACCCGGGGGACACGTGTCCAAAAGACTCGTGGGTGTGAGGAAAATCCTCACTACCATATCATATACAGGAACAAGGGCAACTAAAAGGTGAGGACTGGAAACTTTCCACTGAGAACCGTGAAAGGTCCTCCGGGGTGAAAAACCCCACGAAAGGTTACACAAGTTTAAACGTAGTTTCTTCTGCAGCGATGCCCTTCTCGCTAAAATCAATAGACGCTGAGGGCAAACTTATCTATTACATGTAACACCTTTAATAGTGATTCCACAGTCGTTTTTATAATCAAAGACAGATCTTGTGAAAATGCGTACAACAAATTGCCTACTTTACATGAACATTTAAAAACATATATGAATTACTATTTGAATCTTTATACTGCTTTTACATAATAATAATATATATAGCTATAGGAGATATCTTTTTAAAATTCTTGAAGCAAATTTAATCTGTTGGCTTCTAATCGAAACAGGCTCTATTTGGATGTGTCTGTAGCATAGGAGAGACATATTTTTAAAAGGTGGCAAAAGTTTTATATCTCAATGTTTGCAAAGGGGGAATCCAATATACATGTGTCTATATACTACCCAGTATACCTATACTACTAGTATATACACAATACCAGCCTAAGATTTTTATTAAGTTCATGCTGGGTGAATGAACAGTCAATATACTCTGAGAAATTCTTTTGTAATGTATTAGGTCATTCTACCATATACATGTGTTGTTTGCTTGCATTGCTTTGAGTACACACATAACTTTTGAATGGATATAGCTCTAAGTCTACATTGCTTCGAGGGTAGTGACTTAAAACCAAGCCTTTGACACTGAAAGTTATCTGCCAGTTTTGGCTGTGATGTGACTTTGGCCTTACGCTTATAGATGAGACAACTCTACCCTTTAACAAAAGACCATAGCAATGTAATCTATCATATTCCCTTTGCTGGCCTAGGAGAAGACAAAATTAATGTACAGTATCTAAAAATTGCATTTGTATCATTAATTTTGTCAGTTCAATTCTAGTTTTCACCCTGCTTTGCTAAACTTTTAGTTGAGAAATCTGGAAACCAAAGCACTGACCTGATATGACATAGTTGTGTCAAAAATGACATCCATCATATTCCCTTTGCTGGCCTTGGAGAAGACAAATGCACAGTATCTATAGCATTTGTATCATTAATTTTTTTCAGTTCAACTCTAGTTTTGACCCTGCTTTGCTAAACTTTCAGTTGAGAAATCTGGAAACCAAAGCACTAAGTCCTGATATGACTTATTTGTGTCAAAAATACATACCGATGGTATCCATCGTATTCCCTTTGCTGGCCAAGGAGAAGACAAATGTACAGTATCTAAAAATTGCATTTGTATCATTAATTTTGTCAGTTCACTTCTTGTTTTCACCCTGCTTTACAAAACTTTCAGATGAGAAATCTGGAAGCCAAAGCACTGACCTGATATGACTTAGTTGTGTCAAAAATACATATCGATGATATCCGTCATACTCCCTTTGCTAACCTTGGAGAAGACAAATGTACAGTATCTATAGCATTTGTGTCATTAATTTTGTCAGTTCAACTTAAGTTCTACCCTGCTTTACAAAACTTTCAGATGAGAAATCTCAGGAAACTAAAGCAACGACCTGATATGACTTAGTAGTGTTAAAAATACCGGTACTTAAGAATGCACAAAAATGCATAAAAGGGCTATGACCTGAAGTTACCTCTTTATAATATGAAAGGAAATATTTTTATAAACAATAAATTGTGATAAAATATATCTATAATGAGTGTCCTTGTATAAGTATTGTTATGACCTGTAATTTTCAACCTCTCTATGAATGGAAACATTTTTTAAATCCAAAATTGTGACACAAATATGGCTACAATAAGTGTCCTTGTATCATACATGTATGTGAGAAAAACAATTGCCAAGAGTGTGCCTTTCCAGGTGGAAAAATAAGCCCCCATTTGTTTTGGGGCATGATCAATATTCAATCCCTGAATGTCAGGGGTTACATTGGACACTGCTCCTGGCAGCCACTGAGCTGGAAACAATACAAGCTTTCCACCCAGGGTAATTTTCCCGATGGGTAAGTATTCCTGCCGCTATGACGCACGTTCCTTTCTACAGCCACATTTCACGAGGAGAGCATGAATTACTCTCAGAAGTTGTGGTTGAGTTGTAGGCTATTCTGTTCAAGAAAGTTCAAATTTCAAAGGTCTGGTACGTCATATCGGTACATGTTTGAACACCAAATTTGTAAAATTACATGTCTGAAAACCAGTACTCCAAGAGTTGTGATTTTGCTTGGTAGTGAATTCATGTTTTTTGATATGCATGCGTGTACTGTGTGTTTACTTTCAAATGGAAAATAAGGATTGAGTAGGACCATCTGGGAGAATGTAAGCGATGTAACATAAGCTAGCACGTCGGAAAAACATACTTAAACCTGTGCAAAAGCCAGCATGTATTGTGCATAGCACTTCAGCAGAATGTCTCATTTAACTTTTTATGGTCATGCTCACCTATTTAAAGATGACATCCCATCTACAGTTTTTAAATGTTGTATGGGAAAAGATATCGTCTGCAATGGGCAAACTTCTGATTAGTGATGCATACCGGTTCACTGGACTTGGATCCGGACTTGTAAGAATGTTTAGGTTCAAGTCCAAAAAAACCTAATAGTCAAGAACCGAGTCCGGACTTATTACCATAAAAGACCATTTCACATACCCCTTTTCTTTCCAAACCACCTAAAACCTTCCGTAGATTGTAAAATCTTTGCTGCAAAACGAAGAAAACATTGCCATCGGGCATCATCAAGTACCGGCCTCCATGTTATGTGGCCAAAGTTTCACCCAGACAACATTGCAAGGTTGCCAACATGCAATTTTGTATATGCCATGGGTTTAGGTCCGGACTTAAGTCCGGAACTGAACCTAAACCTCTGGACTTGAATCCGGACCTGAACCTAAAATTGGGTTTAGGTATGCATCACTACTTCTGATGTTGATAATTTATCTTCTGAATACAACATTGCTTTAGAGATGGATCTAAGATCCAGCAAATAAACTTGTGACTTCAGACATAGCTGTCTGGAAACAAGTCAGTGAGACCATTTTCCTATGTTGTGTAGCAGTAAAGTATAGTATTACGTAGAATAATATGAACTGTATTGGACACCAGGGGGCAGCCTTAGTCTACAAGACTAATTCTTCCATGACTTTTCTTCCATTTTTTTCAGGTACAGAAAATTCCCGCTTACATAATTTTCCAATCAGCCCTTCCCTCTGCACTCTTCTAGAAAAAGGATCTCTTTTTCAAGTACACATTTGATTATGCATGTTTATAGCTTTCTCATGTCTGAGTTATATTTCCCACAAATGCATCAAACAATTCGGCATCCACCCATCGCTCACTGAAGAGTTTCAAGGACACATGTATTAACCTCGCCTACCCATATAGTATTAGGATGAATGGAATAACTGAGATGTCGTATCTCAGTGTGAAAATGGTATTGATTTTAACAGCAGTGTTCAGGACACCCTAAGGTTAAATCAAGCATTATGGTTCTGAGTTCCTGTTGGGGTTGATTTTACCATATCACAGGCTAGCTAGAGAATTAGTCAGCTATAGTCATTTTCTATCATTATGTTTTCCTTTCTTTTTCAGAGACACTGAATAAGAGTGATGGATGTCATTCAAATGCCTAGAATTAATCCCAGTCTGTAATTTATTTATAAAGTTTGAATTGTCTTCGAATATAGTTTACCTGGATGTCTAACCTTTAAATCAACGCATTATACGATTTACACAGGTAGAGGGTATGTGAGGTGACTTTCAGGTAATGCATCATAACTTGTCAGTTCTATTTTCAAACCTATCTGTCAAATCTGCAGTTTACACACAGTGACTAACTGTAACCCTAGAAAACCTCCATCTTTAAATTCATATTATCACAAAGATTGTAGAATACAATAGTAAGGAATAAACTTATCACTTCTTTGTACTTTAAGAAGGCTACACTCATCTTACTGGTTTACACATTTTTCTTCCTCTGGATTATTTTCTAAAATAATTCTGGAGCAAACGATAATCTTTTATTGTTTGCCTCATGGAGTAACTTATTCCCCTCCCCTAAAAAAAGTGGTGCACTCTTAACAATCCTATGTTCTTTAGCTGAATTAATGATCACACAATCTTCTTTTCTGTAATTAGACTACAGCTTAGCTACCATGTCCTTACAAATGGAAACTGAAAATTCAATAAAACAGTATTTCTTAACACACTAATTTTGGTCTGATTCTAATTTGACAAACATATAGTTACTGTAATAAGTCCTGGTAGTTTGTGCAATTTTCTATGAAAGACTATGTGAGGATGGTTATGCATGCAAAACATGTACTGTCCAAGGTGCCAGAAACTTCCCCTGTTGTGATATTGGAGATCAGATGGAGAAATTCGATATGTGGGCGATTTTACGTTTGACGTCATTATACAGTCCGCCTTCGCGTACGGCACCAGGACAAATCGCAAGGTCATATACGCGGGAAAATCTGGGCTCTGATACCGAGGCAGCTCGGAATGATAACAAGGAGTGGTGATGTTTAGGAAATATTGTACGTCAAACACACGTGTGCATGGGGTTTGATCCATGCAAGGGACATCAGTACGCATGATGCAAACATGAAGCTTGAATTTCAGAAGCTTGTGAAATCTTAGCAAATCTGTCATGAACCCTTAATGCTTGTATGAGGAAACCTAATAATTTGCTGAAGAAATAAACAAAGACCTTATACTGTAGGTTATATGGCGTCAGCATTGTACATTTAACATCCGACAGTATTTCAAGTCCTTTCTCAATAAAGTGTATATTAAAACTCTTCTGTATAATGTCTGCATTGTACTAAGAATTTTCAATAGTGCTCTTTGAACAATGTACAAAAAAGGCTTGTAGACACATTGCTACTGCAAATACATGATGCTTTCTTAAAAAATATGAATCTTAAAAATATTAGTTAAGACTCAGATGTTTTTAATGGCCATGGCATTCTGCTATTATATCAGATGATTTTATAAGACTGTAATTCTCTAGAATGTTTGTAATGTGTGTAAATGTGTGTTTGAAATGTGTGTAAATAAATGCACTAACCCATTGCTACATGTATATGGACATTGGGAGCTACATTGATAAATGAATCATGACCGTAATAAGTTAATTACACATTTTTGCCATTCTGGGCTTTAAGTACCAGTCACAACAAAACATGATGATAATTGAACCCATACAGTTAACAAATACAAAATAAAACTACCTATCCCTAAGATAAATTCTACTTGTAGTAGATATAAAAGAACAGATGGAAGGTTTGTCTAGTTGCACTATGAATATGAATTTTTCTAAAGTGCTTAAAAGTTCTGAAATAGGTTTTGCAATGATAAAAGAAAAGGGAAAAGCCTGACCTCTGACCCGGTGGCGCCCGAGCCGCTCAGAAGGCTCATGGGACTGTCTGGCGGGAAGTCTCCTGGAGGTTTGGTCGGTGACGGGACGGAGGCAGTGGTGGTCTGGGTGACGGTGATGGTGGGCGACGCCGCCTGGATGGTCATGCCGCCGCCAGTGGGGGCTGACCGCGCGGTGTTGGTGGAGGACTGGAGGTACTCCTGCACCTGTCTGCGCTGGTTCTGCTGGATGTGATACCTGGTGGGGTGGGCAAGCTTTGTTTCCACCTAAACAACAACAGTAAGGTACAAGGTAAAGACACAGTGAACCAACAACTGTAAGGTACAAGCTTAAGCAACCAACAATGGTATAAGGTACAATGGTATAAAATGTAAAGCATAAAAGGTAAAAATATAATGTAATACAATGGTATAAAATGTAAAGCATAAAAGGTAAAGCAACCATCCTCAACTGTGGTAAAGCATAATGCTTCTTCAACCAGCTTATACAATAGTGCAAGGCACTTCACTACAGCTCATGCTTTCTAGCCAAGGACATTTGATGAGTGTGTTATGTTCTTTTACGTGCTGATCAATGAGGTTTGTTGCTTCAAACATATTTGGGGCCACCAACTTTACATCACTGTCCAAAATGACTACAATTCCTTACAACATGCTAAGCTGACCGTGGGATTGAACTCACGCCCGCAGTATACAACATCAAACCACAATGACTGCACTTCAGCAGACTGCAATATTCCTTCATTATGTTCAAAATACAAGAAATCAAACGATTCAATGTCTGGTCCTCTGCTACGATACAAATCCTCATGTAAGGTTTTCAGACTAAGCAACAAGCATTTAAACCTCCTTGACACGAACCAACAATTTGGTGCGAATTCTTAACTCCAAGATAACGAAGTGTTAGCCCTAAATCACGGTAACATTTGGCTGAAAATCCGTGGGTGGCATTTTGGTTACAAAGTTATTCTGAAGACCACCACAAGTCTTTCTTCCTAGTACAATTCTGGCTATAGGATCATGCAAGGGTTGTTGATACGGGTTCAGAAATACGGCGGCAATCGTATTTGACCAGGCCGAAGAAACTCTAATCCCCGCCATATCGGAGCTGCCAGAATGGCTTCAGTAATGGCTGACTGATGGACCTTCCTTACCAGAACGACTAAATCTTTCCCCCCGAATGCGAGATGCCTTCTGGCCCAATGGGAACATGATCATTTGTCACTACTAACTGCAGGTTATGGCCGTTACACATTTTGTCACTCAGAAATTTCCAATCCAACTTACAGTTACAACGTACATGGTACAATGTCCTATAGGACCAGAGAATAGAAAGTCAACTTAAAAAAAACATGAACACAGATTTATCTTTTAGCTACATATACTAGAATAAAACTATCAACTAAGACAAAAGACTGACCATATACCACGAAGATTGTTCAACCTACTATTTTCCAATAATGTGGGGAAAAAACTATTTTTTGTGAGAAGCAACAAGATCAGGATGCCTACACAGATGATAGGCTACATTTTTTACCTGAGCTGCGAGATGAGCAGAGTAAGCATCAAACCACCAGGGCTCCGGTAGGTACGGCCCTTCCATCCCGCTACTCTCACCAGTGTACTTCATTTGAGAAAGTTCCAACACGGACCACTGCCTGACAGAGAACCTTCCTTCGTACCAACCCACGGCGGAATGAGGAAACTCGGGATGGGCTGTCATATTTCAATAAAACTGTCGGTCAATATTTGAACTGACAGTCCACGGCGTGTCAAAAGCGACGGAAAACGTAACGACCACAGGGCGGAAAGTTTCCCAGAGGATAGTCCTTGACACAAGTGAGGTCCCGACGTTCTTTCTCATGCCGTTTCTCACGATGTTAACGTGTCGGGGAGTCATGAATTTTCAACAGCTTGAATTTGAATGCATATCATTGCAGATCTGGGAAGGGTGGATCTGAGTACCCACTTGCCTTCTCACACTTCTAATGATGACTGATATTGGGAAAAACCCACAGCCGTTCTATTTACAGACCCCGGGAACCAATCAGCCGCTTCCTGTCAACGATAATCCCATGATGCATTGCTATCTACTTTTTGAAAGCGCCAGATGGGATTACTGCAGATTAAATCAATGCAGCAGCTCTTTGTGAAGTTTGAATGTTCCCACATTTCTCCACAATGCCGGAACTTCTGGGAAAAACCTACAGGAAAACATTTGCCAGCCGCACGCTGACCAATCAGATGCCATTTTCTCTGACCTTCCCTTTTACTCTTGACCCAAGGGCGATCCATTGTCACAGAACTGCAGTGTGCATGTGAGATATTGCACAACCAGTATAGTGGACTCAAGGCCTTTAAGCTACGAACATTTCCTTTTGTCATGGATTCTCTTTTTTTTAGATTTCAAGGTTATATTATCAATGTCACCTTTTCCCCATTTCTGCCTCTTACTAGAGCCTTAGTCTTACACTAGATATATGGTAACCTCTGGGTTCTGGCCTTTTAAAAGCATTACCAGAAGCCAAGACAATGTCATTGAACATAAAAAAATCTTACTTCAATATATCTAACAGCTACAATATGAAAATACAACTGATACACAATTACCTTTCTAATCTATGGCCCATACTTTTTATTGGTAACTTCATAAAACACAGAGTAATATAACAACAGCCATCATCACACTCATAGATAGTAGCCTCTACCAGGCTTCGGGAGACGGCTGGAAAGAGTAGAAATCAGTCAAATAGAGAGATAACATGCCGTGGGAGTTGGTCTGCTAGAGAGTACATTTTGCTGCACCCCTCGGCATTTTATCTCTCTATTTGACCGATTTCTACTCTTTCCAGCCATCTCCCAAAGCCTGGTAGAGGCTACATAGATACCGGTAGGACAGTTTGGTGGGAAAAGACTCAGAGCCTTTACCCAAGGTTGTGTGGTCACTAGGGGTTGTCTTACCTCAAACAGATGGCAAAGGGAAGTCTTGAAAAGGAGCGACCCTATTTACACTTCTCACAATCAGAAAACTCGTCTACAACAGTTTCTCTTTTCGCCATTCAGTCCTGAAGTATCTCTTGCGAATCAATGGGACAGTGAAGGATTGTCACTTCCAGACAAGGACAGTTGACAGTGATTTGCATATGAAAGTGAAGGACTATCAAAGTAATTTCTCAGTGTTTCTTCACTTGTAAATTTGATCAAGAGAGAGGGGGAGATCACTCAATTACATGTTATTAGCCTGACCCAAGGGAGGGACATAAAAAATGTTGTCATACACACACAACCATGTCAACTGCCAAAACTGAGTGTTTTTGCTTCGACTAAATCTAAGCTCCAGTACGTGTGTAGCTGAACCATAATATGCCTAAGTTACATCGGGAAAAAAGAAATCTGACAGTTGAAATGCGTTCTTTTCATTCAGATACATCCTATTTTCATGTGTATCATGATTTATGAACTTGTTACAGGTCAATAAAATGAAAACGCAAACAAAACAGGATAAGGTGCTGCGACAAAGGATAAATGAGGAGTCATTTTGAGAGCATCTGGTAATATCAATGACCTTGACAGAGAGAATTCTTCACAGTAGATCTTTTACAGTCTCAAGACATATTGATGCCTCTCCTGACCTGACCACAGCTGTCATTTGTCAGCCTGAGACAGTCAGCAAACACTCCAGCTTGGGAACTGCACAAGAATGGGACTGACACTAGTGACAGGTCCTGGGCTATGGGAACACCCCAGCTAGATCTACACTTAAAAGTGCGCTGGCAGATCCCACAGACACAGTTGGGCAGAAGGGAGGTTTGAAGGGATGTGTATGCTTGCTATGCTTACCTATGGATTGAATGATGACCATACAAAATATGACAGAGAGCTAGTCAGTATGATACTGTACAACAGCAACTGTTAGTGCTAAAATTTCTCTTTCATGTCTTGACAAGACCCTTTCGTAGTCTCTTCTGACTAGGGCTTTATTACATTCATGAAGAAGATTATGTTTTTGGTAGCATTTGTGTGTATGCGACCTAGCACAATAACTCAAGAACCCAGGATTGTCACGAAACTTCGTAGGTTGGTAGGTCTTGTCTTGTGGGTGAAATATATGCTTTCATATGGTTTGAGGGCTTAAGGGTGTGCTGTTCATACACAAGTAACACTTCAGTTACTTCCTAGATGAGGGCCTGCATGCTCTTTTTCTTAAGGTGTGATCAGGCCTTTTTGATCTTCGTAGGCAGCCCCCTAAAATCATCGTAATCAGTTCATTTGCGGTAACGTGTAATGGTTCGTAGTCAGCTATAGGAGAATTCAACGTAATTCGTGATCAGCATAATTCATAGTTACTAACCCCCATGCAGGCCCTCCTAGATTTCTACAGGTTAAAAAATTTTGCTTTATGACCAGTCCTCACCTTGAGAATCTGCGCGGGAACCTCGGTGGTGGTGGGGAGGGAGTGGGGAACGTTGATGGCGGAGGCCTGCGAGGCGTTGATCTTCACGGCGGAGGACTGCTGGACCTGAACGATCCGGTCGCGCCGCTCCTGCTCCTGCATCTGCTCCCGCATCAGCTGCATCTTGAGCGCCGTGCGGCTGGACATGGTGGCCGTCTTGAAGGTAGGCTTCTCACTGTAATGAGAACCAGGTATTAATAATAATAAATGGTTTGTAGGTCAAACGTTACCCGCGCAATCACAGCCTTTTATAGCGCTGAATTGATGCAGGGTTTTCAATCACATAATACACACGTACGGTACATATAATATATAACATATTTGTTCCACACACTTTTTGTGGAACTGTCGCAAAGGTCTGTGCAACTGCCATTCGGCGCCACAAGGTGACGTTAATACGACTTTCCCCAACTGAACCCATTCACACCTGGGTAGAGTGGGGAAAGGCCTTTCCCAAGGGTCCAGACATGTCCCAGGTACAACTCCGGACCAAATTTAGCAGGCGCAAAACCAGGATTTTTCAGGGTATTAATTGGATTTTGGTCAATGTTGCATCAGAATTTTGCTCGTTCTGCACGACATTTTTTTCAGACACGACTTTTGATACGCAAAAATGAGATGTTCTGCAAATGCACAATACATTTTTTTGTCCGTCAGCAAAATTCCATCAAATGACAAGAATACAGACACTGACTAGAACACTTGAGTAGCCACTGCCTGGACTCCTACTGAGCCTACTGTGTCAATCCCCTAGATTACAACTAATTTTCTCAGAGTCGAGCATTGGATGAATGGTGTGGAAGACAGGCTTTATGCAGTGTTGATAGAGCAAGATGACAGTTCCTGTAGACTTCTCGCTTGTTTGCCAAGAAGATGACCCAGTAATTGACTAGATTTTCATTAGCCTGGATGTCAGACCCACAGCGCGCTAGCCCAGAGCTAGCTATCACTAACAGGCTACAATGGTATGATTTTGGGGGAGACATGGCCATAGCCCGGTTACCACTAATACCAGACCTCTTTCAGCTCCCAAGATTTTATCTTCTCTTATTTGCAGAGATGAAAAAGATTCAGGAGCTAAAATAGGTCTGGTAACCAGGCTATGTTGGCCAAGGAGCCAAGGAACTGGCTGGTGTAGGCCCTGGAAACAGTCTGGCACCCAGGCTAGATTTTCATATAGCAGGGTAATCCTCTTTACTTGTGATTGGGACAGATTTGCAAAATGTTTGTGCCATTGCCCCTAAAACAAGCATGTCTAAAAAGTGCAATGCATAGGCAGCCGAGGACTGAGACATAAACACAAAATTTGCACACAGGCAAAAACCTGGCATGTAAAAATTACATACGCATGTGAGCGTACAGAAATGTAATGATTTTAGCAATGTGCAAATGCTACAAATTTACAATCATTCAATCAACAAACAATCATTGCTACGTGACAATTATTTATGGAAGAATTTTCAAGTGAGTTATTACATAGATTTGAGGGTTAAATATGGGGCTTGAGGGCTGTGAGAAAGACTAGTAAAAAAACCTGTACTTACATGGAAAATTTATTGACATACTACGGTGACATGAATGTTTTGATATAATGATGCTATTAAACTATAAGTATGCCTCGCAGCATGCAGGTGGTCATTTGGTGCCTTGGGCATCAAATTCTTTTCTGTGTACGTACTAAACGTTGTATCAAATTTATATTGGTAGTTCATGAGTTACAAGGTACCTTTGGGACTACAGTCAATCCTGTTAAGTACAAAACATGTAGTACACTAATAGTGACAATCCAGGACAATCTACACATGAGGACAAACAGGCAAATGTCACCATTTTTGGTGGTCTCTTACAGATAATTTTTCAAGCATCAAGAATGACCACCTGTTCACACAGACAAGATCCTATTGGTCCCCTGAGTGGTCTTCTTGATCAGTTTTGACCGTACACTCAACAGATCGCTGTAGCAATCGACTCAAAGATAGCACAATGCTTTTTCACATGACAACTATTTGCACATCAGTTGGACTTTGGTTTAACTCTGGATGTTTCTACCTGTGTATAGATAATGATTGGAGGAAAATAAACACCTGATAAAGATTCCAATATCTGTAAGACACAATAGAGGATGTTTTACCTCAGTAAGACTAGGCAATGTTAGCTTATCTAATATAGTATACACATTTACATTATGAAAATGATTTTAGAATGTGGCACTGGTATGTAGATGGTGATCAACATGCATATAGCTAGGGGCTATGCATATTACACTTTGGGCTGAAAATACTGGACCTGCTGGTTTCTGATCATGTCTAGACCCCTACAGGGAAAGGGTTTCCGAGTACTCTCCAAGCAGAAGTTGGTAGGAAAGATTGTGACATTTCTATGCACCACTTCTCTCACCTGTTGGTGGGGAGTAGTGACAGAAAACAGGGCGTATGATAGAAAGGTTAGAATCTTCCCCACCAACTCTGCTTGGAGAGTAGCTAATCTCACCAGCATACAAAACTCTGTAGGAAAACATGATTGTTCAACTTTCACCCAGATTTGCTAGAAAACATTTCCAGACTGTGACCTTTACTGTTGCCAGCCTTACTCAGTGACATTTACCAACCCAAGATCTGGTCAACTTACCATTCGTCTCTCTCTATGCAAAACAGGTGCTATAGGTCACATTTGGGCAGACAATGTGCATGCTATTTACACTAAACAACATACAACATATTCTTGTTTGCATATATATACACTGCATAATGAGAAATGGTCACTCTGGAATCAGGAAAGGGCTAACAATAACAGGTTACATGAAAAATCATATTCTAGTTCATTGCAAGTCAGTATGAACTGAGCTAGTCTGATTGAGGTGGGTCGCTACTGCTTTCCAATTCCACCTTCAGTTTGGTTCTGACATATGCATACAAATGCTCACATCTTTCCACCTCATGACAACCAAATAGGTATACTGTAGTAAGCATACATACAACATACCAGTACCAAATCCCTTTGTAGTAATTGTACCATCCCGCCATACTAGCTGTACTGGAGTTACTCCTATACTATGTTCAGTCGATCACTCACTAACACTGCTCACAGGTAGACTGGGCTCACATAGCCCCAAGCCAGCAGTTTTTGCTACCCGACAGACAGGCACAGACGCTATAACACTAGATACCAAATAAATGACCCTAACTAAGTACATAATCACCTGATTAACCTACTCAATGAAGGTGGTCTAGAAAGTTTTTAAGCTCCTTGTTAAGGAAATCTACTGATGTCAGCAATATTTTGAAAAAAAAAGACTATGACAGCATTTTTATCACATTAACTGAAAATTTCCATGTAACGTTACTGTTCAAAAATTCAAGCAGCACATGCGGAAGGTAAAATCAACCCCAGACAACTCTGCATTTGAGAAGACGAAAACACTGTTAACATCATATTAATAATTAAATGTTATTTGTAACAATGCCCCCCCCCATTTTAAGGGCCTGTCATTTCTATAAAAATGTTGAAAAACATAATTTGATATGCAGTGCTGCAAACTGTCTTTTTAAACTGTCTTCTTATTCTTTTCTTAGTTATTACTTATAGTAATGATTATTGGTGTTGGTACTTTAGACTTAAATCCACGGAGCCCTAATTTAGAGCTCAAAAAGACCCAATCTTTCGTCATTAAGAAAATTGCAGCTCACCTCATGTAGGTCAGTATATCCTTGTTATCTACAAATGGTACCATAATCTCTTTTGGCCCATTCTGGCATAATTTTTCCCATTCTAATCTACAGGAAGGATAATTCAAAATAAAATTTGTATTTATTGTGACCCTTAAGAGGCAAATGTCACATCTAGCTAATCTTTTTTTTTTATACGCTGAAATTTCACAAAACACCTTCAAGAAGACTTTGATTGACACACATAAATAAATCATTATCATTAGCATAATGAAGTCTGCTGTCACAGGCTTTGAACTAACTAACCAACAGAAACATGACAATCTCATCAAAGCAGGTAACTGCTGGACCAGGTATATTACAGTTCAAATATATATTAGGAGGGCTTAAAATACCATATCCATATGCAGATTAGTGCAGGTAAAATTGGAGCTGTGCAGGTATTTCTGATGTCTACCTGCACCAGTCAATGTACTGGGTTTATACATACATGTACATGTAACGTTAGGTGTATGTGGATTTTACTGACCCATAAAGTGTCAAAGAAATAATGGAAATGGTTTCTGAACAGTTTTTAGTATGATCCATACTTCCAATATTTTGAGTGTTGCAGGTAATGTTACCTGCAATAGTGTAGAAAAAAGGATTTCGATCACTGATACTGTGATACATACAATTGAAATAGTGATACTTAATGTTTCCTTCATTGTTTTCATGATATCAATTACACATTGTAAAAGGGATATTTCATTTCTGCCTATCGCAGCTGGTTTACAAAAACAAAGGATGATGAACTCTGTGAGGTCACATTATACATTCAAATGTTACACATATCATTGTGGGAGAGAAAGATAGCACCATAAAATATGTGAACACAATTTCAGGTCAGACAGTTGCTGAGTAGACATCAATAAAATCTGTGCAATAAAATGTTATTTCCTGTACATAAAACTAACAAACAGTTGAACGATATAATTTTTATCAATAATTTATGGGCTTATCAAATTGCCTAGTTCAAACTGGACATTTATTGTGAGGGTTAACTAATATCTGAAGATATACTTCACAATCAAAGCTAGATACCAAAATAAACAGGAAAAGAAGAGATGTTCAATGCACATTTAAGAAATTGTTATAATTCAAATGCTTGCACCTAGTACAATATCTAACTTCAAATCTATTGCATAGATGCACAAACCGATTTATTATTTTCAACCAGTTTGAAACTGTTTAGGATATGGTGAACTATAGAATGTGAACCTATGGCAACTTGTAAGTGCCTTGTGAAACTTTAAAATCATGGTGATAGTGTGCTATATTAGATGTTAGTGGCAGTAAACAATGAAACGGTTGAAAGAGAAAGAGGAAGTGTCCACGGTTTCGTGACTTCTGCTTCCTCGAGTAGAAAGAATTAGTGAGACCAGGAACGTTTTAACACTGGTCTTACATGTATAATCTTTCAGTGGAATACTGCAGTAGAGTACAACTAACATAAGATGGGAGGTGGACAGGATAGTGCAAGGTAAACACTGACATGTGGGAGGGGAGGGGGAGGGGTATTGTGTAGTCCACCTGCCAGTTAACATATCCTTGTTGGGACGTCCCAAAAGGAAATAGACAGCTCGGTTTGTTTGATGTTCCGATTATGGAGGTCTATCGCCTTTCTTTAGATACATATTCACTGTGCAAGCTGTTTTCTTCGCCATGTCTGCCTTGTTTTGCACTGGAAATACCCTCCCCTCTACAAAGAAGTCATATGATCACAATGCATTGCAACATACACGAAACCACAAACATTGCACACTGCGTACCTTCTCTGGACCTGCCGACTCTTCAAATCGTGAATCACGGAGTCCTGCCCCGATTTGCTAAGATCTGGAAGATCCTCTACGTTTTTGAGATCAAAGCTCAGATCAACACCTGACTCGTCTTGCATCTGAAATCCTTCTTTTACGTGAATTTTTGAGCCAAATGTTTTCACTTCCTTCCACTCCCTTGTAATTCTATCTGCCCGACTCTGCAGCCTTATTCTTCCATGCTCGGGACACAGCAAATTCTCGTCGTCCATTGGTCTATCTGTACCACGTGGCACAGAAACGTCATCTCATTACCAGCGCTGATTGGTCAATTATTCTTCTTCAAAGTCACAGGACTTCCTGTGTGGTGACGTTTCCATTCCCAAATAGGTGCGTGACGTAAATTTGGCGGGAGTTGCACCTACTGGGCGATGAACTTGTGCACGAGGCCACGAGCCCTATTGTTCATAAAACCCAAGCATTCTTGTCAGTCCAAGGAGATCTGAGTTCGTCCGGAAAATGGCGTAAAACGGATTTTCAGTACTCCAGGGAGAGAAATAAGGAGGCTATAAATAGGTATGACGAACGGCATTGCGCAACCTGGGGGAGGTCCGTACCGTGCACTACCCGGACCCGAGTTGGGCCACAGCATGTAAATTTTATGGATGACATCCTCCGCAGACTCCAAACCCAATGCGAGCGGGCGAAAAAAAAACAAGACGGGCCGAAAAAACAAGGTTCCTACATTTTAAAATTTTGCCTCAATCATGGTAAAAATGGTTTTGATTCAGTGGGAACATCACATGTACACAGCCAGCATCACATATCACTGCTTAGGGACTGTACGATATTTACCGGGGAGGGGGGGCCGGTCGTCCGGGGGTAGCGTAAAATAATTTTTCCTAGGCCCTCCCCCCAGGTCAAAAAATTTTTTCCTAGGCCCTCCCCCCGGCTCAAAAATTTTTTCCTAGGCCCTCCCCCCGGCGTGAATCATAGAGAGTGAAATTTCGTATGGGGAGGACGAGATTTTGTTTGAAAATTTCCCCGCATGAAGCGCCGAAGGCGCGAGCCATCACGCCGCAGGCGCCACTAGAGCCCGAGTAGGCCCGGCTTTTTTTTGGGGGGGGGGGGGCATGTCCCCCGGAAAAATTTTGAATTTCAACCCATGTTTTGCATGTTGAGGGGCATATTTGGCAGCACAAATTTTGCTGGTACATCGAGCTATAAATTCAAAGTCAGTAACGTTAAGGTCAGTCAGTGTAATCGAAAATAATCCTCTATCTAGCCTACCTTTCGTCCACGTCTTCCGCGTCAATTTTATTACAAAACAGGGAAACAATATTGCCAAGTTACGTGTTTGTTTTTC